CCAAGGAACCACAACTGTGCCCCTACACCCATGGTCGGAGTGTTGACCATGCATTTGAGATGTCCTTTATGTTGCACTTTGTTTGAGATGGACAGATACCAGCCTGTGTATTGAATATGTTGGAGATACCCAAGTGTTGTTTGCTTCAACGGCCCCGTCTGTTCTTTGTTTGGGTTGGCAAGCCAAATGCGAAACCCGACGCATGTTGCCCTGCTTTTTCAGGATTGTGGAGGCTCACCAGGCGCGTGCAGAAAGTGAGGACTTGCAGCTGGTCGCCCCATTGATCACAGGTGGTGTGTGGGCCTTGCATAAGATTCATTGCCTCGACCTGGATGCCAAACTTTACTTATTCCATGCGAATTCCTTACATATTCCATCAGCCTTTTAAAATCTCTTGCCCTCGCTTCCTCCATTAAAAAAAAAGGCGCAGTCGATTCGAAGTTCGAAGTCGAAGTCGCCGACATCGCAGGCCATGGTGGCAGCGCTGTCCGGAATGCTTGATGAGCTCCGCGTCATGGATCCGCAAATGGCAGCAAAGAAACTGGACTACGCGGCCGGAAGGCCCAGCTTACACTTGAGACACATACAGCAGAAAGCGCGAAAGAAGCAATTGTTGTTGTCGTGGTTGTGGTTATTGTGTTTATTGTTGTGGTTGTTGCCGCTGCTGCAGGGTTATGTATGTTAATCATTAATTTGGTCTCTGTGTGTATGGTGTATTGCTGCTGCTGCCACTGCTCGTGGCGGTGGTGGCGGCGGCGGTAGTGAAGGCGGCGGTTGATGATGACGATGATGAGGGCGATGTCGATGTTTCGTAAATTTCATGATTAACATTCACATTAATATTAAGCTGTCACCTTGGCTTGACCAAACTATATTGAATGCCGGTCATAGCTTCAGCAATCGGTGTCTCGCTTCTCATGACTGGGTGCCCACCCCACATTGCTGGGCAAAACAATTTGTATCATGGGATGCCATGTCCATTCGCTCGATTCGCTGTTCCAGTGTTCCAGTTCTCACTATAGTGGGCAATCAGGGAACCTATCCGTGCGCAAAGCATGGTGGAAAACCTGGGTTGCCTATTATAGTGGCTTGCGTGGAAGGACTGGGCCTGTTTCTGGTTGCAAAGGCAAAATTAAGCAGGAGGGGTTACGCAGGTGTTGGTCCATGTGTCCACTTGCCAGGGTTCCATTTTGGTGCCGGTTCTTTGAGCCACAGTGGGCTTACAGAATTCGGCGGTGCGGCGCCGAGTTGATCGAAACCACCGCGGAGCTGCTGACCTACCTGGCAGTGGCACGCTTGGGCGTGCGACCCGAGGATGTGGAGGAGGCGGGGAGGCTCCCCTTCTTTGGGGGTCTCCAAATCAATTTGGGTCTGTCGATTTTGGCCCCCCCCATATAAACATGGCTTCGGCTTTCCGGTTGGTGTCCAGTCAAAAACTCAACCAAAAGGGGGTCCCTTTAAGAGAAGAAAAGCACACACAATCGAGTATTTGCATCCGGCTTTGCGATGGATTTGGGCAAGCTACAACGCGAGCTCAGCGATTCGGGAGATTAACTGAACTCAACATGAGGAAGGTCCGGCGCGACCGTGTGATTTGTTGCAATTTGCCCAGATTGATGTAAGTTCCAAAGTTCGTGTGCAATGTTGACGCACCTTCCCCGCCTTTCTCCAACTGCGTGTGAATTCGCCCCAAAACACGTTGGATGTTCCTTCTCCAAAAGGGGCTGACAAAAGACCAGCCCCTTTGTCCTAGGATCATGCGGAATGTGCTGGTTGCCTGGGGCAGCTGTTGGTTGGAAATCAGTTGGACAGGTCGGAGCCGCTTTGGACGCCAAGCCCAGAATGTTGATACCCTCTAGCAGATGAACATGATTCAGGGGGACTAAACCTGATCCACCAGAACTCGACCGCAGAGAAGCCGCTCTTTGGGCCCCCTTTCTTGGGCTCCATGTAAGAAGAGTTGAGTGCCAAAAGGTTTCGGCCCCGGGTGAGGTGTGTGACTGAATTTCCCGGACCTCCGGATTTTCAGACCCAGCTTGTAGCCGTGGTGCCATGTGCCTAGATTGTGGTTCGTTGTCATTCCAGCTTTCAGTGGGTCAAGCTTTCAGTGGGTCAATGGTTTTGTGTTAATTCAAGCACAATTATATTTAAAGCATGCGGGCTGGAATGTTTTTTGCTGAAAGAAATTGGGGAACCGAAATGGAGAACATCATGTCGGTGGGTCCCGATACATGTCTACCCACTATTTGGGAGTTGGTTCCCTTTTAAAATTTGTAGACATATAGTCTATTGGACTGAGACTATGCCGTTCAAATCATCGCTGACACCTCGCGAATGGCACCAGGCCTTGCTGAGACTCACATGGTGTAGACTTAAAAACACATGTTGGGAAGTTGAGTTTAGTGGGACGCCACAAGTGTGAGGAAGTCCTCCGACCACCCCACTCAGGATTCTTGTTACGGGGTTCTGTGAAAGCCCCCAAAAAGAGAACAACAGGGTGCATGTGAGTCGGCCTGTCAGCTAGGCAATCATCGCAAAGGAGATGCAATTGCAAGATGATCCAGACTTCGCCAAGCACAGCGAAGCCCGGTTGAAGTTATTGCTTTTGGAGGTCTGTCCCGCAACTATTGTAGCAGACAACAGCGGCAACTTCGTATGCTGGCCAGTTTGTCTTTCCATAGTTGCTCCTCTAGGGACAACATATTCTGATTTCCTTCAGCGATTCTGCGGTAGCTGGAGAGTCTTTGTTACAAGATGACCTTGTCAATCTCCCTGAAAGTTGCCAAGACCGGAAGAGACAAGTTGGCCGGGTTCTGGTCGGTTTTTTGAGCGGACAGTTACCGCAAGAGTTGCATTCGGTGGCTGTTCGCTGTGCCTGTCATTTTGTCATCCTGGAGTTTCCAGACAACATGTCCTCCTTTTTCCGATCCTCGATCCCAGTGATGGGGCAACTCCCCCAACATGTTCTTGTTCAACTCACGTACGGGTTTATCTCTCAATGATGAAACCCCAAAATGGCTGGTTCACTTGAAACCCATTTCAGTTAAGACATCCACACAAGGGCATCCTCAGCAAAACCCCCCCCCCATGTTTATGTCTTGGAGTTTGCGTGGCAGGGCGCTTTTTTGAGGCTGCCTGAGGGTTGGTGAATGAATTGTGTGATGGTTGATAAATGCAGTTTGGTTCGGTGCCTGGGTGAAACAAACGCAAAGTGCATCGCTGCTTCGTGATTCAATTCAGCCATGATTTCAGGCTTCAAGGTTGATTCGGCCTGGCTGAACTTCTTGAATCATTTGGATTACATCAAGCCAGGGTGGGCCAACACAGGGCGTGTGGTGATTTTGATGAGGCTCGGTTCCTTTAGGGGGTGGTTTTAACAGGACACCGAACGGAAACCAAAAAAGTCTGGAGGCCTTGGACATGTTCGAAAGGGGACCTGAAAGTGCGGGGTGGAAAGGGGGGGGGTCATCTATTTTAGGTGTAGATCTGAGTCAAAAGACCAGAAAGACCCCTTCTTGTGTTGGGGATGGACCCCCTCTACTGGGGATGCTGGACCATTGTTTACGAGCATGGCCCACATTTGGGGAATCTCGAGGGAGATGAAGACCGTTCAAGAGCCCAGGAGGAGCTGGCAGTGCTGATGCAGCAGCTTCTGGATTTCAGCTCCATGCTGCGGGGCTTGAGTTGAGATAGGTCGAAGGGTTGCTTCCCTATTCTTTTCCACCCTTGTTCCTACCAGCCGTTTCCCCGGTGTGTTGTTACTTCTTTTTGGAAAGCGGCGGCCGTTTTTTCCCGTGTTGCTTTTAGACAGCGCTGCGCTATGCAGCCGTTTCCTGTTGGTTTTTTCTCCTAAGATTCGGCATGGAAAGAACGGGAAGTTACCCCTGAGGCAGCTGGCGAAAGGACCAAATGAATCCAAATGGTTTCGGAGTCGGCTCATGCGCGTGGATTCGATTCCTGTTTGTCAGGAGTTTGAAGAACAATTTTGTTGTGGGTTCCTATTAAGGGGTTTTGACCAAGGAACATATCACAGGGAGCCTAGCAACTACTAGAAAGGCGGTTTTCCTGCGGGTTTCCTCTCACCCTCACCCCCCTCCCCAAAAAGGGTAGCCTCAACAAAAGAGCACACCCAACTGGCTCACACGTGAACTCCAAACTTGTTGTCCGTGAAAGTTTGCCATTTGCCAAGTTCGCAAAGTCGTCAAAAGAGATGAGCCACAATCAACATGCGGGGATAGTCCCAATATCAAAATATATGTGCGGCCGCCGTTTTAGCTCTTTACATGGTTTGGGGTACACCATTTGAATCCTTTAGGTTTTGATTATGACTCGGTGGATGCTTTGTTGCTGGTTTCCCTTAGAAGTTCAGGCATCCCATGACTCCCATGCGAGCTGAGCCATCCATTCTGAAACCTCTTCGCTCGTTGTCATCATTTGCGACGGAGAGAAAAGGTGGGATCTGTGAGAGAAGACAAAAAGTGAGCGGGAGCCATGTTGAGATGATAGCACCTTATGAGTCCCGTTTGGTTTTGTGAGGGTCCGAGGTCCGAGGTATTGCTGATCAGTGCGAAGATGATTTCTGAGCTCACCTTTTGGCATGTTCAAAGTGTGAAATCAGAGCCAAGGGATCTGGATCGATTTCGTGTGCCACCGTGCCACCTGCCGTTGGGGCGGGATTTTGGTTGGTTGTGATGGAATTTGACGAAATTGAGGAGCTGGTGCAATGGGCAGGGAATCAGAAATGGAATGAGTAAACCATCCAATTCGGGGACCAAAGCCTGGGTTCATTCCATTTCTCATTCCCTACCTTCCGCGCCAGCAAGCAATGTTGCTTCTCTTTGGTGGTTCCCAGCCGCGCGGTTCCTTTAGCTTTTTAGATCTTTTTACTGTTTAGTGGGGGGGTTCCATTTGACCCACTTAAAAACAGGTGAGATCTGAGGACAGCCCAGTTACGAGCCAGGAACTGCGTGTTGGATTGCCACACCTCTTGCCCCGCGCAGGCTGATCCTACGCAGGCTGATGCCGAGGCACGTGCTGAGTGGGCGGGGGCTGTGGAGGTTCCTATAGTTGCCTCACCCAGCACCTTCGAAGGGCTCTCAAAATGGTAAGTGCCCTTGCGTGGCGATTGGTTGATTCGACGACCCTTGTAAGGTGCTGGACAACAATTGTCGGCGGAACCCTCTTTAATTGCCACTGATTTGCTGCTGCCCTCGGAAATCATTCGATGTCACTCCTTACCAACATGCCCATGCTAATTGACCCCAACCGATCTTCATATCCAGCACTGCTCATTACCGATTCCATCATGATTCGCGTTAGGGATTTGCCAGCGCTGGCCGAGTCTTTCTCAGTATCTGCACACTGGAAAATTATTGTGTGTGAATATACATAAAAATATGAGTATATACATATTAATTAACTTCTTTAGGAACAATTTCCCAACATTGTCCTTCAACAGCTAAAATAACGCGAATTGTTGAAAAATAACAAACACGCGTATTTACACACACAACCAAGAAAACACACAAACATAATTTCAGTTCGACCTCTCCATGGTTGCTTGCCAGCCACTACTTGGCCCTCATCAATTCCATGGTCAATTCCAAGCCTACGAACTCTAGACACTTTCAACCCATGGACAGTCATATACCATTCCTCACAAGATGTTCATGAGAGCCACGTAGGACTGGGGCCCAGTCTGTAACTTGTTAAGCGACAGCAAGTTTTAACAAAGTTGTTTTTTGCCCCTTTCCGCCGATTTCCGCGTATTTTCTGCCGATTTCCGCGTATTTCCCCACGATTTCCGCGTATTTCCCGCCGATCTCCACGTATTTTGGATGGCCAATTTTTGTGGGAGTTTGGCTCAAATCTATTGATTGCAACAATTGGGAGCAATTTCCCAGCTGAATCTCACCTTGGTTGGGGTTGCGGCGCATCCCTGCACCATGTCATGGAAACCTACATGTCCCACTCCTATTCTGGAAGCCCTTCGAGAAACGCTGGTCTAAGATCAGGGTAAATCAGCAGAAATCGCTGCGAAACATGCAACAAGCAAAACAATGTTCCTTTTTAAGGGTCCAGGTACAAGCATATATTGCAAAACCCGCACATGTAACCCGGCACGGACAACGTGACACACACACACACACACACTCGCGCGCTTGCGTGCTCGGGCGCTGTTTGCAGCGCCAGGATCTCGTCGGGAAGGCCGTGTCCTTCTTGAGCAGTGCCACCGCCGCAGCCCCCAACCTGTGCACGAGCACGCCCGCGCGAGCGCGTGTGGCCCAAATGAGCGAGGTGTTCTCTCTCTAAAAACAACAACAACAACAACTGTGCTTGATTGCTATTGGGTTGGGGTTTGGATGAACTTTTTGGGAAATCAAGGGTTTTCCATTGGACCCACAAAAAGTTGAACTTTTGGCGGAGGGGTTTAACAGCATCCAAGTCTTGGTTTCAACTGGAAGCCAATGAATCCGAAATGGCACTTTAGGGCATGGACCGATTCATGTTTTAAGAAGCAGGATGTGTCCTTCAAACGTTCCAGAAGAAATACAAGGCCAAAGAGGGCACACACAGCAAAACATATCAAGTCCTGCTCGATATTTAGGCAACCCCAGAACACAGACTAGTTTTTGGAGGAGACCCAAGAAAAAGTCATATGCCAAGCCCAAACAACCGGAAAGGAATCCGCATGAAGCTAGGGAAACAGCGGGATCGCGTGACTTCCAGCTCTCAGCAGCCAAGTGGAAAGTCTGCGTTTCCGGTGTTTTGTTTTTTGGGAGTTGGCACACCCCTTTTCTGTGTTGAAGAGAAACCAACTGGAAAAACAGTTCGCCATTTTGGGGGATCTAAACAGACAGACCAATATGGAGCCGGAGCATTGTGAAACTTGGATCAAGCTGCTGGATTCTGCGCAGAAAGCGTGGACAATGCAAAATGCACTTGGGGAACATGGGCTCTTTGTGCTTCTTGAATGGAGTGAACCAAGCCCTGTTTGAGCAACCTGCCTCGAACGCCCATGCAATCAATTTGGGATGCGGCAACAGTTAGTCACAAGTAGACACAACTCAGGGCTGGTTTGTTGGTCTTAACGTGGCCTCAAAGAAATATGGCCATGGTTCAAAACCAATGGTGCCATCTTGGGATAGGTGTACCACCCATTTTAGTCTATTTTAGTTGGGATTGGGATGTTTACTGGGGTTACGGGTTGTTGACCCATGGCCATATGACTTGCTCTGTTTGACGTGATGCTGCAGCTGTTTTCCAAGCAGCTGGAACCACGAGCTCCATGGTGTCACTTTGTGTTACAATTACTAGGTCCCCCAGTAGTGACCTTTTACCGATTCTTTCTTGGGGCAGGGTTCGGGACCCTACTAAACTAGACTACAAAAAAAAGTTGGTACCCTTATTCTGACCTCTCAAATCTGGAGGACCTAGATTAGATTACGGTCAGCATGAAAGCAGGCACAAAGCTGGCGACATCCATACGATATCGCCGACCTCCTACAGGCTGTTTTGGCGGTTTCTATACCTCCGGACAGGATGTAGAGACACCCCAACCTTGTAAATCAAAAACCCTCAAAAAAGAAGGATCTGTCTCGAAAACCTGGTTTTCCGGCCATATAGCCTTCAAAACCGGGTTTTGGTTCCCAAAACCATTTCAGAACCCGTAAAAAACCCGTAATTAACCCGTACAAAACCCGTAATTTACCCGTAAGAACCCGTAATCTGAAACACAGTGTCCGAAAACCAGGTTTTGGATTCGAAAAGCAGGTTATTTGCCAGAACCTCCTTTTTTCCGGGTTCTTGATGTACAAGGAAGAACGAGAACTTATGCTGTGGCTTGGACAAAATCCATTTCGCCCCACTTGGGATAGGTGAAACCCGATAAATCATGGAAGCCCAAAGTATCTTGCCCCACAAACGCAACTTTCTTCTGGAAAGCGTTTTCCAGTTTTTGCCGCTGATCAGCTTGTGACCTGCGTGTGACGTTCAAAGAACCACGGCTTCGCTCCAAACTGTTCAGCGCTGGCGGGTCGCCCAGGGAAGGTCAGCGCAGGAGAAGGAGAAGTTCCTGGCGGAAGACCCAGCACCCTTCTTTGGCTTGATTGGGCCAAAGGGGATCGAAACGTACCAACCCTCTGGGTTTCTGGCAAGACTTCGGAGATGAACCGTAGTAGAGATCCTCACCCCTATGACTGACATCTTCAGGAGCATACCTCACCTAGCCCCTGGCAAACATATTTTCTTGAAATTCACCTCCCGGCTTGCAGGTAGAAGCACAACACTCCACGCACTTTCATGCATTTCATATTGCCAGACTTAGCTTACCTTTGACAACTTGTGTCCTTTTTGGTTTTCCTTGACTGCTCTCAGCCAGGGCGGGTCAGGGGGTCTAAGCCTGCCCTTTCAGCTTGCTCGAGGTTGAGAAGGGCCTCACGCAAGAGCAGATCCAGGAGGCCGCCCAAGCCAAATCCCATGGCAGGAGCTCTCGGATAAGCCTGGGATGGGGACACGCGTTGCTGGCTGTGGCTCACAAAACCGGTATCCAAATGGAACCCTGGTAAGGGGAAACATGGATCAAGACCTGCGTAACCCCAGCTGTTTAATTTTGAGCCACATCCTGCTGAGCTCAAGGAAGAAGCGGATTTGGAAATTAGAGCTAGGCAGTGCAGAGAGGCATGGCCTGTCGGCAACCACAAGCAACTGCGATTCTTTATTCGAGAGGGAGCAGCATGCCCGAGCATGCCCTTTGCCTAGATTCTGATCAATGGCTGCGGATTGACCGTGCCAACCTATTGCGCCAAAAACCGTGAACCTGCAAGAAGCACGCAGGATGCTGCGCAATGAATGGACAATCTAATCGTGAAGCGGTCAAACAGCCCACGAGGTGGTTGCGTTTACGTGAAGCAACGTGTCTCGTTGCGTGTTGTCGAATGACATTCTAAAGTTTCAGCACCTCGGCAAGTCATGTTAAATTGCAAATCGGATTGGGTACTTGCCCTCTCCCGACTTGTTGCTTTGAACTTGGCAATCCGACGACATCAACTCGGGAGTATTCCAGGCTGCGGGCCGCTTCCTCTTTTCCCTTCTTTCTTAGGCTGGTGAATCCCCTGAAAGTGAGCCCGACAACCTGAGGGAGTTGCAACCATCAGGCCAAATAGGATGAAAAAGCCTTGGCCCAGTTGCACTGGTGATTATTCACCCGGATGGAGATTTTAAAATGCTCAGATCTGTATTTCGGACCCCGAACCGGTTTTTGGGATCCAAAACGGGGGTGAAAAAGGTTTGGAAAACAGGGTCCCCATTTATTGTCGACAAGCATATCCACCCCCTGCGCCAAACAACCGCGCTACCTGCCCCACTCAGGCGCCAAGTTTCTGTTTGGAGGCCTGCCAGTTGCAAGACAGAAAATCCAGGAGAGAAAATCCAAAACAGCGGGAGACGTAGACAGAAAACAATACGTCAACGCCCGCTTTCTGTTGGGCTCCTACCCCCGTGAACGTCCTTTGCTTTGGAGGCATACCGGCGCCTGGAGGAGTCCAAAGGAGGCGAGGGAAGGACACGTCCGGTGACCCACTCTCCTGGCGCAACATGTCCTCCTGGAGTCTCCATCCGACCCTTTAAAAATGGTTGGTCATTACCAAAATGATGGTTTCATGGACTTATCTTTAACGGGTCAGAAGGAGACTCCAGGCTGACCCAAAACTGGTTTCAAACCAATTGCAAGTTGCATGACACTTTGTCTATGCAAGATTCCGCTCGCTGCGATGGATTTCGCCTATTCCGGGAGTTGTGTCGTGCGGCCGGGACTGCGCTTGAAGTGGTTGAGCAAGGCATTCTGCGGTTTCGCAAAGCATTTGGGCACGACTTCTGAATCCGGACGTAGAGAGGGAAGAAGAAGAAGAAACAAGAACAAGAACAATAATAATAATAAGGAAAAAAGAAGAAGACGAAGAGCACGAGCAGGACGGAGCAAGAGCAAGATGAAACAGAAGAAGTCTGTCAGTCCGACAAATTCAGCCAGTTTGGCCTCCCAAATTTATTTACCAAAGGGGAGAAACGTACCCTCGACAAAGGTGCCCTTGCCCAGGCGTAATTATTCTTAGAGTCTCCATGACCCTTTAATAATGGGTCCATGACCCCACTATTTTGGGTAATGTGTTTTTCAAATTCTATTTTTGGGTCCAAACCTGGGCAAACACTGCAAACATAAGTTCAATCAAAAGTAGGGGGTCGAAGTCAAAATTCGGACATAGAACTTCGGCTGATTGCCCATAAGGGGTACCCCTGTTTTAAGCGGTTTGCAAAGCAAGACCAAAGGGAGGTTTCCACACCGATGGCGGGCCCGAGAGGTCCAAAGCCGGCACCGGGGCCCACTCCGCCTCAGGCCGCCCGTACGGGGGGTGCTGGCTGGGTTTTCCTTTCGTTTCCCTGGGCGGTCAAGGGGTGCCTTCAAAAGAAGACACACCCGCCAATCATCAAGGATACCTTACTTTGTGTTCGCAAAGTTGTGGGAATCTTGAGGACTTCTCAACCAACCCGTCCTTGACCGTCAGGACCCGGGATCTGGGACCTGTTTGTTTCAACCATGGTCCGCGGCAGCGGAGACAGAGCTGGCGTTCATCGTGTTGGTTTGTAGCATGATTGGCTGGATACATTTGAGGGACTACCTTTGCTCGAGATCAGTGCAGGTATTTGCAGGGTGAAGGCGCCATCTCATTGACTTAGCTGTGGTGAAGGAGGAGCATCTTTGGTCGCTCCGGTCCCTCGGATCAATCCTAACCTGATCACTCCTCTCCTGTCCTGTGTGGATCCCTGTCTTGCCCATAGGACTGCAATAAGAAAGCACAAAGGACAATTGAATTTTCAGATTTTCCTGGGCTGGAGAGGGACTTGAATAATCAGAGGGGGGGTTGTGTTATTCGGGGCCTAGCCTTGAAGATTTGTATCCTTTACGTGCTTGTCAAACCAATTGCTTTGTTTAAACCAATTGTTTTGATAAACAAATGCTGCTTCCGGTTAGCCGCGGTTCTGTTTGATTTCTGGAATGGCATCCCTTGAGACTATGAAAGGAGTTGGCATTGGCAAACGTATTGGCAATTGCTTTGGTAATTTTCACATTGTTATGTTTTTAGTATTGCTTTTGAATTTGGGGCCGGACAGGGGCGTCTTTAATCAGAGGGGGTTCTGGGAGGTGCCCCCAGAAAATGAGAGGGTTGCGCCTTTAAAGTAGAATTGGCTGGAAACCGGGCGTCTTGAATCAAAGAGGGTTCACCAGTCACGTTCTACCAATTAAGTTAGCCCTGGGGTTCAAACCACCATTAAAGCAATGGGGGTTGAAAATAACCACCTTTGTTTGCCTAAGGAGTGTCATCATCCAATTTGAGTGAACCATTCTTTTAATGGGGGTTGAACCCTAGGGTTAGGGTTATGACTCAACTTCTGGCGTGCTCGACAGGGCCCCTTACCGCCGACAGCGCCCGCACCGCCCGCGCCGGCCCCGCGGCCGCCGCCGCCGCGGCCGGCGCCGCAGGCGGGGCTGGCAGGGTTTGAAACATCACGTTTTCGGCCACCTGGCAGTGAGTTTCCTTGTGGTTGATGTTCAAAAGCGAAATATAGGGAGCCCTGTCGCTGGGGGTTCAGCCGGTGTCAAAATAGGGGCGGTTCTTATTGGGCCAGGGCTTAAAGGAGGTACTTAGACCCCTCACCCAGAAGCTTCCATCCTACAAAACCAAGGGACCCTTGAGAATAGATGGCAGAGACGCCTGGTCAGTTTCCCGAAACTGGTTGGTGTCTTGTTGGCTTCCTTGGAATGAATCAACTGGCGGTCAGATTTCCATTTCAGAGAGTTGTTCACAAAAGGATCAATAGCTTTGACTCATTCCCCATGGGCGTGCATGTTTTTTTTTCGAGGCTACCCATTTTCTGCGGCTTTAAAGGGAGTCCAAAGGAGAAACCAAGCAGGAAACTCCCCTACAAGACACACCCAAATGTTGGACCTGACTGCTGGGAGTGCTCAGGGTTTACTGCATGGATTGAACACGCTCGTCTTGTAGTTCGGCTTATGGTTTCTTTGGTGACCTTTAGCTTTGGGATGCGGTGCCCTTCCCTAAGAGCGTGACACCCGAACCAGATCAACGAGCAAATGGGAGGCCACTTGAAACCTAGGAGTTGGAAGCAGGATGGCCAAAAAAGCAGGGAGATGTAGGTCGCAAGTGGCTCCGGTTCAACCTGTGGTTTTGCGGTGGTTGCTATGTGCAACGTGTGCCAATCCTGTGCCAATCGTGTGCCAATCGTGTGCCTGTGTTTTTTTTGGTGTCATGGGGAGCACTCTCCGAAATGGTGGATGGACATGAAACCCAACCTAGATGTGTGCCAAAGCGTCCCCCCCCCCAAACAATCAATCATGTGGCTTTAAATGTGGAATCCCAACACGGCGAAGGACGCGCTATTGTGTATGTGCGTTGCCATCCCTAGATTTCGAACTGGCTATGTTCAACTTTGTGTGCATGAGCGTATTATAGTTGCGCGCAGTGCCGTTGCGTATGTCTTATCATTGTTGTTTCTCGAATGTTACCTTGGGTTGCATGTTAGCATCATTGGTCGTTCTCGTCGTCAGCATCATTATCGTCGTAGTCGTCGTCCTCAGCATAATAATAACCATAACTATAAGATAATAAACATAATAACAACCATCATCATCATCATCAGCAGCAGCATCATCATGAGGAATCGACGTGCCGATATGTCCTCAAGGATGTGCGCGGAGGAATCCTTTGAGTCTTGAATTGTGGTTTGTGCCCATGCATGTGGCCGCTCAAGCACCCTCCGGTCTCCATCCTCTGAGGTTTTTTTTTTTTTGTTTCCCTTCAAAGCCATCTCAAGAAGCGTACCCTCACAAAAGCGCACAAATATATGGGTCTGTCCTTTGTTGTGGTCCTATTCCTCTTAACAAAGAAGAAGAAACAAACACAGTAGGTGTTGTGGTCCTATTCCTTAAACATGAGAAAAAGAAGAACCACAACAGTTGGTGTTATGGTCCGATTCAAAAAAAAGAGCATCCAGTAGGTGTGTACATTTTGCCAGCACCTTCCAGCCAGGCGCCCTATGCGCCCAGCTACCAGGCCGGATAGTCAGCTGGTCGGCTGAAGTTTGATTTACCCATGCACCAAACGGGGATGGGCAGTTTTTTGTTTTTCCAGGCTACAGGCTACCTACTTAAATGCGGAAAGGGGATGGGCAATGTTACGTTTTTTCCAGGCTACCTACTTAAATGTGGCTTGTTTGAGGGTACCCCAATTTTGTGGTGTCCAAGGGGGATCCAAGAGGAAAACCACCATTTGGGGTCTCCGATTTTTCATTTTATTTTTTAAGCAAAAAAAATGAAAACAACAAATGGCACCCATCAAAGCACACCAAGAGTTGAGATGGATACTTGATGTGTTCTTTTTTCCAGGCCCCATATTTGGCACCCAGATTTGTTGATTGGGTCCGTATTCCCCAAAATAGTCCTTGTTTTTCAGCCACTGGTTGCTGTCATTCGATGGGGCTCAGCCAACGCTCTTGCTGCCCAGCTTGCCTTCTGTCATTCTTTTCTGACGCGAACAAAGAAGATCGACCCGGCCAACGGCAACAGCCGCACGCTTGATGTGAACGCCCTAAGTGCGGCTGCTTCGCTGCGAGCGCGGCCTGCTAACTAGCTCGCCCTTCCGCCAATTTAAAATGGAACCTGACAGGGGGTCCCTTTGAAAGGAGCATGGTCTTCCAGGGCCCCCGGTCAGGTTCCATGCGAATTGCTAGGGTAGCTTCGACAACGAAGGCCTGAGCCTGACACGGCAGAAGCCGAGCTTGATGAGCCGGGGACTGTGGACCAAGCCGGGGAGAGCAGAAAGCCGATCAGGGGCCTTCCCCAAACCCATGCCCGTCAAAAAACAAACTTGCCAGCGACTTGCATGCGTTCTCAAAACGACGGGACACCCAACAACACAAAAAAAATGGTACTTGGTGTGGTTGGAACAAATCCTGCACCAGTTGGGTGGGTGGCTTACCCATTGTTTTACGGGGTTTCATCCATGGGTAGTCTCAACCAGCCCTTAACCGACATGGCCTCCCAAAGAGCGCAAGCCAGATGGATACCAAGCACCTCCAGAAAAGACGAACCGGGACTCGGTCAAAAGAACATGGATCAGGAGATGCGTTGATCGCTTCCTCCAATCTTGACGAGTTGTGGTTTGAGCCAAACCCCACAAACCCATTAAGACATTATTTATTATTATTGTTATTTTGTATTATTATTATTATGATATGTTTTTTGGGTTGGTTGCAGACGCATGTGAATACCAAAAGTGCATTACAATCTTTTTTGGGGTTGGCTGCGGGCCGACGCATTTTGGTATCCATGGTAATTCTGCCGGCCTCATGTTGTCCAGGTGCCGCCAAGCTACGGGCCTCCATATCAGGCGAGATCCGGCTAGAGAGCTGAGAGAGGGAATCATAAGAGTCTTGGAGCAGATGAAGCCATATTAAACTTGGTGGCTCCCAGCCATCCGGCTCCTTAGACTTTTAGCCTTTTAGTGTTTAGTGGTGGTTTCCATTTAACCCACTAAAAGTTAAGCTTTTAGCGGGGGATCTGAGGGCAGCCCAGTAAATATAAATCATGGGATGAACCACCAATCCCAACCATCCACAGTATTGCGTATGACGTAGGGATGCATCATTCTCATTTGGGGCATTCATGTCCACCAAGCACTTATGAAGTTCCGACTCTTGAAACTCATAGCCAATGGGAGGCAACAGCATCTGAAGATTCTGAGATGATGGGCCATGACTACTCGTTCTATCCGCGTACCCATACCTTGTGCATCCCAGGCCTTGTTCAATTCAAATCACCCCGGCCGATTCATAGGTTGTGGATGGTCAAAATCCTTCACCCACCAGTTGTGGCTGCTTTATCATCCCTTCAAATCGGGCTTCATCCATCCAACTAGTGCCGACCGGTCTGAACACTTTGCCCATTCACGGGCGACCCTTGGACTCATGCAAAACTCACAAGGAAGTTCCTACCAAGTGAACACCACTAAACATGGTAACGGAAGCAATCGGTTGATTCGTTGAGTGTGTGGATGTTTTTTGGTTAGCCGTTTGTCTCAGCAAGGTGCCGCCAGCGCAGCCTTACGGGCCGCCAATGATCCAGGCGGGATGGCATGCCCCCTCTGCGAAACGTAGGGGGCATGGCACAACAAGTCAGGACAATGTGAGAGATATCCACCCTTCGAACATGGGATCATAGCCTTTTTTTTGTTAGATTACCCCATTTTCATGTTTTGGAGTAACGGAACGTTGCTCGGACAGTTTTTCAGACGTAGCCAAACGTCGAGCCGTCTCGTGTACCTCAAACACGTCCGTTGTTAGAATCCCCCATGTTTTGTACGGTCATGGGTGGTATACATCTCGCCTTTTGGGACTGACAAACTCAGTGTGGAAACTCTCCATGGGTCGATTCCCTTTGAGTTCCCTTTTAAAAAATAAGGCCCGAATCGGGTGCTCTCAAGAACAAACACAGACAGAAGCATCCAAAACACATCAAGCAAAACACATACAAACACAAGATCGGCAAAAGCAACAACACACAACACACAAACATCACACTCTGACAGACGCTGTTGTCATCCCTGGCCGGGATTTCCAGGGCTATCCGCTGCCCTTAGAGCCACCATCCTCGGGTGGCCCCTGGTGGGCCCGGCACTCGGACGGAAGCGAAATTCGTGGGAGTTTGGGCAGTTTCTCTTCACAGCTCTTGGCAAGTGTTGGTTTTGTTTTGTGGTCCTTTGGTTCTGTTAAAGCTGCAGAAAAAGTGTTTTGCATACCAAGAGTTGTGGGTTCTGTTCATTATGTGTGTAAAGGGCTGCAAAAAAAGTGTTTGGCAACCCTACCTAGAGTTCTGAAGTTTGGGGTCAACAGATGTTGCAATGATTTGGTTGGTTTACTCCTGCGTTGATTGGGTCGGTGGGTGGGAGGGTGGGTCAGGGGGACGGACACGAGGGGATCCGCTGGAGGGCAGACAGCAGCATGAGCTCCATGGCAATCCACAAAGTCCGCCAAGCCAGATGGGGATAGAGCCATTGACGTTTGGCCAAAAGCTCGTCTTTTTTCAGCTGCCGAGCCCTCCGTGCTATTTCGAGTCCTCAAGGCAACGTGGCTGGCCCCGCAAAGCCGCATGAAGCATCGGTCAGCGAATTGCCCTGGGTCCAAGTTTGGTAAACTTTGGTTTTGCGGTTATCAGTTGCTGGAATTCAACAATCGTTTTTCAGTTGCTTATTTTTTCCAGTTTGGTTTTCAGCCATTGCTTTTGGCCTGCACTTTGAGTGGGCAAAAGGCTCCCAAAGGTGTTGGGCCAGCCGGCGGTTGGCCGGCCGTTGGGTATAGCGGCCCCGAAATTCTGGGAACCTCGAGTCCCAGATGAAGAGAGCCGTGGTCTGGTTCACTGCATAAAAGAGAGCGCTTCACCCTATGCGTTGTTACTCCAGCGGCTGAGGGGCCAAACAAAAATAGAACTAAAACAGCCAAGGTGTAAGGGTACGAGACCAGCACCTTCATGGCTTGCTGCCCTGTTTGGGTATCTCAAGCACCCATTATAACATGTATACATTTATATTATATATATGAAGCACCGTCAAAATTACTTCTGTTGAGTTTAGTATTTGTCGTTTCGTTGATATTGTGAAAATGCACAAAACCATGGCAAACGATAGGGGACTCTCAAAAAAACGATACCAATGGAAAACGATGGACATGCTGGAAAACGATAGGGGACTCTCAAAGTAAGTAGCGAAACGGCCGTAAGTAAGCAATTGTGACCGTGCCTCATATACATATGTGCATATGCAAGAGGTATACAGGTAGACGCCTTATTGCACCCACTTTTCTCTCTGAGGCCTGGCTGTTGGGCGGCCTTGGTGCAGGTGGGCCGGACGGACCTTGGGTCCGGCTTGTGAAAGTGAAGATGCGCGGAACTTCGCGCAGCTAGGTTTTCCGGTAGTGCCCTTTTACCGATTGTTTTTTGGGGGAGGATTCCCCTACTAAGATAGACTACAGAAAAAAGTGTACCCTTAGTCTAACCTCTCTACTGGAGGACCGTTCGGGTTGTTGTCCTTCAAGCCTCTTGGGTCCAGAATTTTTGCGAGGTCGCTCTGGAGTGACCAGGGTCTCTGGCCTGAGGTATCTGTGACGACATATGTTCCTTCTGTGCTTACATTGGCCGCGGATGAACCAACCGGCCGGATTCGTAGGGGGTAGTGCAGGCGGCCTAAAGCGAGACATGTTCCTTGTTCATCAACAAGGGGCTTGTTCATTCTGTGTTTCCAGCAGCAGGACACCCTTCATCCGCTTTCATTTGACACACAGAAGCGCGGGTGCTCTAGCACCTACAGCGCGGGTACAGAGGCTTGGCTGGCACCTACCTGGCGAACCCCTTCCAACTGAAGCCAGGCCCTGAGAACTATCAAGACCTGAAGTGAAGGTCATCCCAAGGGATCTTCTCATTTGTCTAAGAATATGCGTTGTCGTTTGCCTGCTGGTTTAAAATGGAATCTATCACTACTGGAAATATGTTTGATTTTGCTCAGGGGGCTTTAGCAAGTTGAGGTTACGTGGACGTACTTCGGACTTGGTACATCCTCACAAGAAGTGAAGTTTAAGGGACAATATTGGCACAGTTGGTCCTGTTTATGTTTGTGGGGAAGGGAAACTCTTGCCCTTGTGGCGCGACTTGCAAGTAGGGAAACCACAAATGGGTGGCTCGTCTTGTTTGGGAGTTGGTACCTTCTGTTTGTGTTTTCAAAGGGAAACCAACGCAACACCAAACATTGTTTGGGGGGGTCCCCCAAAAAAAGACACCCAAATGGATGCCGATTGCTTAACGCCCTTTTGATTCTTATAGTTTTGGATAGGCTGGTGAGTGTAGTGCTGCTCAACATCCGCATGCCGAACCCAAATGGGTTCGGGTTCCAGCGGGGCAAGTTGGGCTGGTCGATGCCTTTTTCTTGGTTCTGAATAAGCAGCTGATGTTTGTTTTGTTGGCAGGGCAGACTTGGATTCATGTTCTTGGTCAATTGCTCGGCCTTTCGAGCGACTGGATTGTGACACCCATGAGCTTTGGAAAAACCCCGTGGTTTTCCTATAAAACCAGCAGCTACCAATCTGCTTCTTCTTTTTTTCCGTTTTTTCGCCCCCCAAAAAGGACAGCTAGAGGAGCGGACCGCGGACCGCGGAACTCGCCTCAGGCCCGAAGACTTTGATCCCCGCGAGTTCTTCTCCGCCCGGCGCCCGGCGCTGTGCGGGTCCACCGGTCCATCGGTGCGAGAGATGCGAGAGAGACGGGGCCCTGGGAGTTATGGAGTCTGACCAGAAAAACCTGGAGTCTCCTTTGGACCCTTCAAAAATGGGGTCCATGTCCGAAAGTGGGGGCATGGAGTCTTTATTTAAGGGTCATGGAGCCATTATTTAAGGGTCATGGAGACTCCAGGGATACAGCATCCATCCTAAAGGGTTTCCTGTATCCTTGAATTTGCAGGTTCATTGCCTCATTCCCTACTGAGCAGCAGCAACTTGAAGGTCAAGCCAAGCAATGTCGCTTATCCCGCTGGGCAAGAGTCCGACCAAGCGCTTGGTATAGTGAGTTACAGTAGGTCACACTGATTCGCAGGTTACTGGCTTTGATAGTTTGGGGAGTACATGGGCGCCCCACACATAAAACAACACACAGGTCGACAACCGAATTTCCCCTTGTCGAGGAAAGTCTAGGCAGCTCACTCAGGACCGATCTCAAGTAGAGGTCATTCCATGTCTCATTCCCTGCCTATCGCACCAGGCAGTTTGTAAGATGCTGGGCATGTTCGGCAAACACACATTTCAGTTCTTTCTTCCCAACATGAGTGGAGGCGGGTGGATTGGCCCTGAGAATCGTTCTTCATTTCATGGAAGCAGTTCCGACGATTGGCCAATGAACTCGAGTCCACGCAGTGCCCGTCCGAGGAAGGTCCAAGAGAGACACCCAAGGTGGGGGGCATGCGCACTTGGCTTTGTAGATCAGTTTCATGTGGCTGTGGCTCAAAAATTGGTACCCAAACTGGAACCCTGGTAAATGGATCCAAGGACTCAAACCTGCCGTCCAATTAATTAATTCCTGGTGGTTTCTTTTGACCCATACCCATGTGGGTAAAGGCAGGAATCCCCTGATTCCAACTACCCACAGTCTGTTTCACAACTTGGATAGGGGATCCGGGCCCCTTTGGATATCACGTGTGGACCTATTAGAGTTGGCTGCATACTTGAGCTTGCGATGCTTGATGGCCGAGGTTGCTTTATATAATATAACTGTGCGGATGAAGTAGAACAACTCATGCATGCGCCTGAAAGACTTCGCGATCATTGTGCAGAGTGAACAACATGTGTTTGTTACAATTACAGCTTTGGCATGTCTTGGACAGCAGTGTTTGGTGTTGTTTTCGTGGCTTCAGTTCCATCCATTTGTCCATATATGTACTCGATTTCTTCAGAGTCAGTCAGTTCAAACAGCAGATGCTCTCATTTACCTCTTCATAGTGCCAGAGCCATCGCTGCAAGGGCCAGCGCACATTCGCCTGGCAACGGCTCAGGGCAACCTTGCACATTGGCTTGGTACACACATCGCGCAGAACTGCGTTGCTTAAAGTCCAAGCGGTAGCATTCGTTTGGCGTCGCACTCTCGAGCATCTCGAAGCAACTCTCTATCACATGAGCAGATCTGCACAGGCCAACTATTTCGGGGTGTGGTGTTTAGAGTTACCCTTTTGGGGATTGCAATTGAAGGAGAAACCAAGAAAAGGAAACCAGTATTTCGGGCTTCACGCTGTTTTTACACACTGTCACGTACCCATTTGCTCCACTTGTAGGGATATGCTGTGTATCGACCAGTGGCAGTGAGTGCATGGATCAATTCTTTGGCTGCACATGATTAGGATCTGCAGGTGGAATGGTCAAACGATGACCAGCATCATTCAGCGCCACCAAAGAACCTGCCAACTTGGCAAGAGTTCCATGTGCTGGCTATGTTGGCTGTAGTGTGGCAACTTGTGGACGTTGCATGTTCAGCACAGCTCTTCCCCCTTTTTCACACCCCGCCCCTTCCAGCCTGCACGTGGCAGGTCGACTCGGAACCAAAGCAGTCCGATGCCGAGCCAGATGGAAAGGCTGGCCATCAGTTGGGTATACGCTCGTCTCCTTTGAGCTTGAAGCAAGCAATTGTTTCCCCTGCCAGCAAGAAAGGTTCTATTGTTTCAGCTGTACCAAAAGAAAAACTGTCAAGATACTGAGTTTCCCTGCCCAACCCATGGACAAACTTGTGCAACCCATCTGTCGGAAGAAAATTCGACACTCGGCCGGCCAATCTGAGCTGTGCTATTGAAAGTCCTTTGTTTCCCTTAAGGCGAATGTTTCGAGGGGTGTTCAGAATTGCTTTGGTTGGCGTGTTTGTTGTCTTTGCATGGAGAGACCCAAATTGGAGGGCAGTTTTGAATATGACACTTTCATGGACCCCGTGGACCCAATTGCTTGACTGAAAAGGTGGGCCTCAAAGGCTCACTGTATGAGGCTATTTTGATTTGGTACCCGAATCTGGGGTTGCTTTAAAGGGAAACCAACAGGCAAAACATAGTTTCCAGATTTGAAGGCATACTCATATACGAACCGTTGCCACCAACCCACCAAACGGAACTCAACACTCACAAAGCATAAGCAAGAGATGACCTTCAAAAGCCGTGGGGAGGGGGAAATGCCGAAAGGGGCATGTAGAATGTAGAGAACAACTTCTTCAAAAGATCGACACCTTTGACGGGAACCCTTCGGTGGGTGGACGAAATCCTGCACCACGATGAAGCCCTATGAACAAGGGGTAAGCAACCAATCCCAAGTGGTGCGAAGTGGATTTTGTCCATCGACTGTATTTTAGCACCTGGATTTGAAAATGGGAAGCCTAAATTCTCCATGACTCTTTAAAAAAATGTGGTCATTAATTTTGACCCAGGATGAATAAGCCAGTCCCACTATTAGGGGGGTGCTCCCTCCAAAAGTGATGAATCCCCACTAAAAGGGGACACCCCCTATTAATCAACCAGGGGTTTATTAATCGGGGTTAACATTACCCAAAACAAATGAGTTATAGACCTAATTTTAAAGGGTCATGCAAACTCCAGGAACGTAGCTTTCAGCTTTTGTTTTGGTGAGGCCAGTGGCTTTTCAGCCTGGATTTGGCTTATCCAATGTACCGGGCTGAGAAGATGAAGCCCCAAGTTGATAGAAGTTAGCTTCCTTGTGTCTTAGGACTCAATGGACATTGCCAATTTTGGAGTCACTTGGTTGAAGTGAGGTAGAAACGCCCACCGTCAAACCACCAGTTGTCTTTCTGTACGGTCGGTGTTCGCATCATTGTTGCAAGCACCAGGGTTTGTCTCAAAACTGAAGCCCCTTTTTAAATTGGTGGTGGTGCTTTGTTTCCCAAAAGGCTTGAAAGGAGACAACCCCACCAGAGAAATGTCGAAACTGGTGGGGTTCCTGTTGTTTCCCTTTAAAGCCAACTCCCAGAAGGGCACCGCGATTGCACCAAACCTGGCACTTGCCAGGCAAACTACGAGGAACTCCTGGCACTGCTGCGGCAACAAAGCGATATTCGGAGTCGATGCGTCAGGATTCATTTGGGTGTATAGTCAAAATAGGGATTTTTGGACCCCAAAAATCGTTAGGCGGTCTGTTTGGTTCCCTCCTTAAAACCACCCACTCTGTATGAGTCAAAATAGCGATTTGGACCCCGAACATCGTTTCGTGCCTTTTGGGTTCTTTTGTTTAAATCCATTACCAAAAAACAGTACCCGCAAAATAAGACCACGCCCATTTGGAAGGGCCCGGTCCCGATAGTTCGCTTTTGGACGGATCAAATGTTGGTGCATCTGAGAATAGGCTTTCCCTAAACGGTGAATTATTCGGGTGGGACAGTGGGACATAGAATGGCCTCAGGATTTCAAGTTGCGGGCTGCTCAGCTGGTCAGACAAGTTGGAAGCGTCACTTTGCGCTTTGGGCCGTGGATGCCACAAAGCGTCTCAGCCAGAAAAAGCTTGTTTGCCCCCTGGTTGGCCTAGTCTGTAGATTGGATGGCATTGGCTTGCCCAAAGGTTCCTTCGGGTCCAGAGTTCCAATGTGGACCGAACAGCCTCATGCATGCTGGCAAGCAACAATGTCATGGGCGGATGATGATCATGATGCTGAGGACGCTGCTGACGCTGCTCCTGCTGATGATGATTATTATGATGCTGCTGATGATGATGATGATGATGCTGCTGATGCTGATGCTGATGCTGCTGCTGCTGCTGCTGATGATGATGATGATGATCATGATCATGATCATGATCATGACCATGACCATGACCATGATGATCATGATGATCATCATGATGGCGTTGATGAGGCTAGTGGCTTTCCACTGATAATCCAAAACCTGAGCTTGGGTCAACATGAGCGTGTTCTCGGTTTGTGGCTGCAGTAAGTCTTACGTTGTGAAGAAGTACGGGCACCTAGTCATCCCACATTGCTGGGCTTTGAAGGGGTGAAAGGTAGCAACACTTCCCCAGATGCACATGAACCCTTTGCAGAGGACTCGCTTTTCGAAGCAGCCTTTCATTTTGGGGTTCCCCATTCTTCAGAACGCCAGAGCCTCCACTGACGTCCCTGGCTCGCGAGCAGGCGAAGAGGCCAAGGCCAACGTGGCGATGTGCGCCAAGACGTTGCAGCAGACGCAGGAGACACCGACTGAGACGGGGGGAAGCGCGCTCGTTGCTTTTTGGAGGGCCAACTTTGCTAGGTCCCCCAGTAGTGCCAACTTACACCGTTTCTTTTTTGGTTGGGAGGGTTCGGGACCCTACTAAGATAGACAAAACCGAAAAACAAAATGGTACCCTTATTCTAACCTCTCTACTGGAGGGCCAACTTTGGATTACGGAAAGAGCTCAAAGCTGGACTCTCAAATCACCCCTTAAGATGATCGGAAGTTGCCCGATACTTTTGGCAATAACCCAGTTGTATGGGTAGCTTGAGGGTCCAGGTTCTATCAGACACTCACTTGCCGAGAACGAATGGATGTTGGTTTCCCTGTGTACATGTTTAGAGGCTGCAAAATGTTAAGCTTTTGTTTTCAGGCCCGAAAGGGGCAAGTGAGAACAGTTTCGATTGCTTGCGTGGCACTTGGTTGAAGCAGATTTTGGGGCCACCCAAACTACTAGTGGCTTGGATTGGTGGTTTGGGGGTTCGAACCACGGGGATTCCTGGATTTGGGGTTTTTTGGGGGTTTCACCTCCCTTAGCCTCCAAAGCAATGAAAACCACCAAGACGGTTTGGGGGGTTGGGGGGGTTAACGCCCCGGTGGAGGCCTCATGGATCATAGGACTCAGTCGTGTCTCAAGGGAACCGAAAGCAAACCAAGCCTTTTAAGGACCCACCATACAGCGATTGTCTTGATTGCTATTGGGTTGGATCTATAGAATTTAACTTGTTGAGAAATTAAGGGGTTTCCGTTGAACCCACAAAAAGTTGTTTTTTTTGCACAGGGGTCAACAGCAACCAAGTTCTAAGCTGGGTAATCCTTCTAGCTAGCTTGCTCCCTTGCCAGAGGATGTCATGCCTCAGGGGAAAGCTCTTTCTTGGACTTGGATCATGTGACATATCAGAACTTTGGCACGGGAAACGTCACCAAGCGAATTTCGTTTGAGGGGGGAAGTCTGATGGGTGGAAATGCTTCTGGATTCTGCTGCAAGGGTCTTTGATCACTATCGCTTGATTTCAATGTTCGCCTGAGCTTAGCTGACTGCCAAAAACCATTCCATGCAACTGCCCAAGCTGTGTTCCAAAGCATTGCTTCACCTGTCACATCTTTGAGATCTCTTATTTTGCTGTGGTTGGCTCATGTTCAACCCATACTGAAAGTCACACCAGCCTCGAGAGAGACTTCCTTCTTGACTCCTTGATATTCACTGAGAATGTGCCAGAGTGTAATTTTCACCCAGGTACGATCGCGGATTGCGAGCACTGGGATGGTGTGAAGCGATGCGTTGGGAGGGGCGGACTTTCCATCGTGGCATTGGACCTTGATGCCCGATTTAATTTCCATACTGGTATTGAAGCTACTGTAGATGGATTCGTAGCGACAGCGCGAGAGCCAGGAGCAACACCAGAAGATGTTCTCAGAAATGCAGAAGGCCCGGTGGATTGAAAGGTTGCCTTCCGGCGCGTTGAAATGTCTTTGAATCCGTAGGGAGAGCTGTCAAACGGCTCAATGAGGGACGAGCAAACCAAATAATTGAAATAGTTCAGTCTTGTTTGACACACACGCACACACCTATGCGGCTGAGGCCATCGATTGGTGTGACCGCTTGGCGGTCACGTGCGTCCCAGATACCTTTCTTGGCACCTGCACGTGGTGCAACTTGTGTTCTCGTTGGTGCCGCTGCTGGTCAGTTGTGCTGACAGGTGTGAAGGGGCTGGCTTAAATCTATGTCCATGCCCTGATATCAGGGCTTGTTCTAAAGATACGGGGACCCCCCAACATGGTGGTGTTCCCTTTGGTTTCCGTTAAAGCCAACCAAAAAAAAGCCAACCAAACAAGGGTACGTACCCTCAACAAAGATATACCCAATCACACCCATATGCACAAATCGCGTCGCAACACACTGTCTTTATGTTACCCATGCTGCGAGAAACAAGTATTTGACGGCCCATTGAAATTGAGTTTATTCTCTGCATATGTTCTAGGCAGAAGCTCCGCACAAAACACCCAAGTCAGTACACAAAGCAATACATATAGATGTATATTCATTAACTTATATATGGTAAACAGATAATGTGTGACGAAGCTATTACTGTTGTGTGTATATAATATAGAGCACATTATTATATAACATGTGTGATATGCTAAGAACGACATTACAAAATATAAAGTAATCACCCACAGAGATGTCATCTGCCATGACCTGTGTACAATATGATGGGCGAAGATATTACTAGGCTGTGTACACAACGTCACGAAATGAAAGCATAGTCTTCGTGGATATTGTTCTAGAGAATGCCAAGCTGGCCAAAGTTGGGGATGATTTTATTTGAACCACAACTTGATTTTCTATATTGGATACCTGCATCTTCCAGGTATGTGTGTTTTTTCAGCCTCTTGCAGAAAAAGCAAATATTTGAGGCGTTTCGTTTGGGAAATGCCGTTTCATTGGCAAAGCGCTGTTTGGCAGTTGTTGCAAACATGTTTGCAAAGTCGGTCGGGAAAAGTCGCCTTTTGGTCGGGAAAAGTCGCCTTTTCAATTGTGCGGGGTTTCTCCTAGAAAACGGAAAGCGCGGATATTGCCCAGAGGCACAAAAAGGCGCTGCAAGCAGCAAACGGCAGTTGTTGCTGAAATGGAAGAAACACAGAACCTAAAGAAGATCCAGGTATGTTTACAGCAAGCCATTTTTGTTGGTGGGCGGGTTGGTTTCCGTTTGTTTTCCCCTTAAACTTTTTTCAACATGGTTTCCAATCTTTAGGACACATCCAAAGTCCATCCACAGTGGAACTCATTGGAAGTTGGGCAGAACCTCCAAACAATAGTCAATAATTGGAATTCCATCCTGTTGTATTCTTTCTCGAGTGGCGCATGTTCTACCAGAAGGGGCCAAAGAGATAAATTCGGGTTGTTGGGTAATACTTGAAAGCCACACTTAGTCATGATAGTAACAATTCATGAGTCATTCAGCCAGGAAGAAAACACTCGTGATTTATAAGAGGACATAGAGGACTAACTTATAGGAAGGGAACCATTCCAGGAACAAAAACAACATCAACACATCCACGTGGCTTGTTGCGCCCTCGGTTTTGCTTACTCCGGCTTCCCGCTCGCTCCGGTTTCTCGGTGGGCTCCAGGCCTTGCAACAGCTCACGCAGCCCAAGAGCACCAAGCCGCAGACCATGGAGCTCTCAGCCCTGCGCCCGAACGACGCGGCTTGGGCGAGGCGTCGACGCGAGTGCTTCCAGGGGCCGGTTGGAGCCTTTGGGTGGGGGAGGGGAGCGGATGGAATTAACCTGTCGCCAAACTCTTCTTAAGAGCTCCTTGGCTTTTTTCAGGACAGGTCCTCCGCCCCTTATCCCTGCCTTAGTGGGTGACCGGGGGAAAAGTCCATGGTGTCCCGACAGGGGATCGAATGGCATGGAGTCGACTCCAGACCCGCCCGGAGTTACGACTGCTATGGAGTATGTATGGTTTTCTGTCAGTAGAAAGGACACGAGCTGGGGCAGTGAACAACCGGCAGCTGATGAGAGAGTTCTTGAAAAGGTGTGTTTTGGATGTATTCTGAAGGAACCCTGTATTAAGACACACCCAAATATGCAACATTTGGGATGGGGCTCATGCTGAAATAGTTCCAGAAGAAGTGTTAAAGTCATACATACTATGCGCATTGACTCGATCGACCCTGCATGGTCCATCATGTTGAAAGCTGTGCGCAGCAACTCGGAGAACGTCATGTACCAGTGCTGAGATTCACAGAACGGCATGGGGCAAGTCAGCTATGCTCCATGTAGCTGGCCTGCTGATGCTGTCGTTGCAGAGAGGTTTGTTCAGTGCCCAAGCTGTTTTCCACGAAAGGTGAGTGGAAAGCAGCCTCGAAAGCAGCGTGCGCCTTGAGGCGCAAGTCCTCTTGCCCACTTGGCCGCCTCGGTTTGGTTATGGGTTGTAAGCCCAGCAGACATTGGTCTGTAGCCCCATTCATAAAGCAACCAGTGGCCACTCGCCTTGGAGAGCCGGGTCGGGAGCAGCAGTCTGCAGCCACTCCCAGACGTATGCCTCTTCGTGAGAGTACCCTTTTCAGGTTGGTTCAAAGGGAAACCAACTGGAAACCCGAAAGCCCCTTTGACACACACGCATGCATGCATGGCTCCAAGTTCACATGCAAGTTGTGGATTGCAAGCTGAAACCTCGCCTTTGCTCGGCTCAGATTTGGGCCCGGCTCGTTTTAAAGCGAAGTAGCTCGCGTCAAAAGGACCAGCTCTCATTGGCTGAAAGCGGCGCACGTGAAACTGGGAGCCTTCGGACTCAAAAGTCGAAGCACCCCTCCCATCCGCTGGAGGGAACCTGAGAACATCGGTCCAGCGGAAACCACAGGAAGTGAATCAGCCAAACGGCGCAGTTTAAATTATGAAAACGAAATCCTCGCGCGTAGACATGGAGGAGGAGGATTTGGAGGAGGATTTTGACCCCATGGAGAGGAATGTGGGGCACGCGCTTCAGATGTTTGTGAAGGTGGTGAGCCAGAAAGAGGGCAAGTCTGAGGAGGACTGTTCTTTTCGAAGCATCGAAACTGATGAAGAAAGCCTTTTTTGGGAGAGGTTCCCCTACCAAAATCGACTACACAAAAAAGGTACCCTTATTCTAGCGATTCTAAGCCCTCTACTGGAGGACCTAGAAGCCAAGAAACACCTGTTGAATTATAGAAGGGCAACTGGAATCCGCCACGTCGGTCTTGCAAAAGGAAAGCTGTTCAAAACAAGCAAAATACGACTCGATCCCTGTGTATTCAACGTTCTGCACAGACAGGCACCAAGAAGTCAGAATATACTGTGGAGAGTGGAGGCTTGCAGAACGTTGCAAGTCTTGAAAGGAGTTGAGGCGCAATTTGTCAAGTTTGAGGCACGAACTAAGAACCTCCACATCATTTATTGAGTCAGGGTTGGTGCGGGGTGATTTGTTCCCGCTGTGATGCCAGGCAAACCCCCTCGCATTGGAAAAGCCTTCTAACTTCTAATGTATCACAGCGGTTGCAACCCTACTTACCTCTTAAAACACATTTTTTCAACTTTTTGGGCAACATGGGCTATATGTCTGTAAAAGATTAACTTCCCCAGGGCTTGGAGTTTTAAGGGGTAAGCCTACGCAATCCTCCTTTTTCTTCTTTTTTTTGTGTCTACAATCTTGACTTCAAAGTGTCGATGGGCCTCTTTGGAAGCCGGTCTTCTGCTTGGAAAGACACCTGGCGCTTGCATTTGGAGGAGATGGTCAGACACAACTGCTGTTCACACCATGTTTAGAAGGGCGCCCCTTTTCACACGCACATATATATATATATATATTCCATGTGGTTGAAAGGGAAAGCAATTAGACACCCTCCCTGCTACTGCTTGACGTTGACAAAGCAAAACCAAAAGCAACCCCAACAAGGAAGGCACTTCTCCCCCCCTTTTCGGGGGCTCCGGCAAAAACACACCAGGCAAATCGCGACACATGACACGTAACACGCGAGCCGCGTGTCTCGTCCAGGAGGTTCTGCAGGAGCTCTCCACGCCTGCCGGCATGGAGATGTTCGCCAAGATGTTGAGCACCAGCGCCTCAGGCAGATGGATTGCCGTGGCTCAAAGAAATGTGGCCATGGGTCCAAAGCCCGGTTAGCCCCCAGTGAACATCCCAATCCCCACCAAAATAGGTTCTAAAATGGGTGGTGCCTACCCCAAAATGGTTTCGTTGGTTCTGACCCACAGCCATGTACCAAAATGGCACCTTGGTAAGTAGAACCAAAAACTAAAACCTGCGGTTTGCCCTAGGTTTTTCATGTTGAGCCACGGTCAGGCGGTCGCTCAGTGCGGTCCAAATCCTGTCGCTTAGTGCGGCGCAAATCCTGTCGCTTAGTGCGGCAGTCACTTTCACCTTCACGGGCTTGTTGGGCCTGTTGGGGCTGTTGGGACCGCTGGGCCCGTTGGGACCGTTGAGCCCGCTGTGCCCGTTGGGCCCGTGGGGCCTGCGTTGGGCTTGAGCCCGTTGGGCCCGTTGGGCCTGCCCGTTCGGACCGCTGAGCCCCCTGCTCTGGCTCTTCGTCTTGGCTCGCTTTACTTTTCTTTACAAGAACTTACATGTGTTTAGACACGTGCCAAAAGTGTGGTTTTACCTGCATCTCGGAAGGTTCGCGGAAGGCTTGCGGAAGGTTCGCGGAAGGGCGAGGCGGAAGACTTTTGTAGGAACAATGCATATGGGGTAAACTTCATGTATATATGTATGTTATGTTATGTTATGGTTTTTTACGCTGCGCTATGTTATGCTATGTTTTGTTATGTTATGATATTATGCGTGTAGTGTTATGCATGTTTTGTAATGTAATGTGATGTATGCGTGTATGTATGTTGTGTATGTTGTGTATGTTATGTATGCTATGCACGTATGTGTGTATGTTGTATGTATGTATGTATGTATGTATGTATGTATGTATGTATGTATGTATGTATGTATGTATGTATGTATGTATGTATGTATGTATGTATGTATGTATGTATGTATGTATGTATGTATGTATGTATGTATGTATGTATGTATGTATGTAATGTATGTAATGTATGTAATGTATGTATGTATGTATGTATTTATGTATGTACGTACGTACGTATGAATGTATGTTGTGTTGCGTTGCGTTGTGTTGTGTTGTGTTGCGTTGCGTTGTGTTGTGTTGTGTATGTATGTATGTATGTATGTATGTATTTATGTACGTATATGTGTATGTATGTATTTATGTACGTATATGTGTATGTATGTATGTATGTATGTTTGTATTCATGCATGCGTTCATGTATGTGTGTATGTATGTATGTATGTATGTATGTATGTATGTATGTTATGTATGTATGTATGTAGTGTGTAGTGTTATGTATGTAACATAATGTAATGTGATGCAACGCCGGGCATGTGTGTATGTATGTTATGTATGCTATGTACGTATGTATGTATGTTATGTGAGTATGTATGTAATGTATGTATGTATGTATGTATGTGTGTGTACGTGTATGTATGTATGTTATGTTATGTTATGTCCCCTGCTCTGGCTCTTCGTCTTGGCTCGCTTTACTTTTTCTTTACAAGAACTTACATGTGTTTAGACACGTGCCAAAAAGTGTGGTTTTACCTGCATCGCGGAAGTTCGCGGAAGGTTCGCGGAAGGGCGAGGCGGAAGACTTTTTTTGGAACAATGAATATGGGGTAAACTTCATGTATATATGTATGATATGTTATGTTATGGTTTTTTACGCTGCGCTATGCTATGTTATGTCTTGTTATGTCATGTTATTATGTGTGTAGTGTCATGTATGTTTTGTAATGTAATGTAATGTGACGTAATGTAGTGTAATGTGATGTATGCCTGTATGTATGTTATGTATGCTATGACGTAAGTATGTATGTTATGTATGTAAATAATATACATAAATGTATGTATGTATGTATGTTGTGTTGTGTTGTGTTGTTTTGTGTTGTGTTGTGCTGTGTTGTGGTGTGTTGTGTTGTGTTGTGTTGTGTTGTGTTGTGCTGTGTTGTGGTGTGTTGTTGTGTTGTGTTGTGTATGTATGGTATGTAATGTATGTTATGGTATGTATGTTGTATGTATGTTGTATTTATGTATGTTATGTTGTGTTGTGCTGTGTATGTATGTATGTATGTATGTATGTATGTATGTAATGAATGTTATGGCATGTATTTATGTACGTATATGTGTATGTATGTATGTATGTATGTTTGTATGCATGCAATCATGCATGCATGTCTGTGTGCATGTGTTAATGTAATGTAATGTGTGTAATTTATGTAATGCGTTGCAGTTCATGCGTGTAATGTAATTTTGTATGTCTGTATGTATGTATGTGTATGTATGTATGTATGTCTGTATGTATGTATGTATGTATGTATGTATGTATGTATGTATGTATATATGCATATATGTATGCATGTATGTATGTGTTTAATATATGTAATATGTGTAATTTATGTATGCATGTATGTATGTTTGTAATGTGTGTATGTTATGTTATGTTTTGTTATATGCTTTGTTATGTTTTGTTATGTGGGTAATGCTATGTATGTAGTGTATGCATGTAATGTAATGTAGCGCAACGTAGGCCCGCTGAGCCCGTTGGGCTCGTCGGGCCCGTCGGGCCCATTGGGCCTGTTGGGCTTGTTGGGCCCGTCGGGGTCGTTGGGACCGCTGGGCCCGTTGGGCCCGTTGAGCCCGTTGAGCCCGTTGGGCCCGTTGAGCCCGTTTGGCCTGTTGGGCGCGTTGGGCCCGTTGAGGTCGTTGGGCCCATTGAGCGCGTTGGGCGTGTTGAGCCCGCTGGGAGCTTGGGCCTGTTGAGTTCGTTGGGCCCATTGAGCGCGTTGGGCGTGTTGAGCCCATGGAGCGCGTTGGGCCCGTTGATTTTATTCAACTGACCGGTTTAACACCTGGGTTCTGACTGCACTAAGTGACGGGTTTTTTGCTGCACTAAGTGACCTGTTTAGCACTTGGGTTCTGACTGCACTAAGTGACGGAATTTTTGCTGCACTAAGTGACCTGCTGACCTTGAGCCACACCCAGATGGCTTGCTGCATGTTGACCTTCGGGTTGTTGGTTTCCGGGCGGGAGGCGGCTGGTGGCGAATGGGACATGATTGTTTTTTTTGGGCCGCGAAGAACGGCAAAACTTCGGAGAAGAAAAGGCGCAGGTGAATGGAAAAAGGCGATTGCCAACTCAACCAAGAAAGAGTCCACACTGCAATCCGGTTTGTTTCGGAGGAGCCGTTGGCAGCTTGAAGAAGACGCAGATGCTGGCGGCCTCTTGCGAAAGAATCAACATCTACCTGGAGGCCATCAACAAGCCGCCCACCCCAAGGGGCCCCCGAGCCGGGAGATGGACAAAGAAAAGTCCACGGGACGTCACGCAGGCATGGCATGAGTCGTTCTAAAACCCCCCTGCCGTTGTTTTTAGCACGAGGTTCGGTTTTGTTTTTTGCCTAAAAGCGAAACAGGCCGGGAAAGACATGTAGAACAAGCCTCATGTGGTTGATGCCACTGAGGTTCATCCCTTGGTGCTTGAAGTGGATTTGGTCCACGGAATTAATGGTCAGCTCGGTTGGACACAGATGCAGATGGCAGTCGCTTCAGCTTGGTTCTTATCATTGACCGTGACATGTTTGCTTCCCTTACAACCTTACAGCTAGGGTGTGGCTTTGTCCGTGGTAAACAGTGAGGCCCATATTGTATGAACTGAGAGGGGCATTTTTGTCCTCGGGGCATGGACATGTGACGTCACTGGCCTTTTTCCTTCGTGTTTCCTCTATGTACCTCGATGTGGACAATCCCCAGAGCGACAGTCGGGGTATTCACTTCTGACTTCTCCCCCTCCCTTTCTATGGGCGAAGGTGAGACGGAGATCGTTCTCTGGGAAGAAGAAGTGTATCGCACTGATTCGGCCGCAAGGAAGGCCCTCACATTTGGGATCATGAATCATGGGGCGATGTCGAAACTGGGTTTGCAAAGTCGGAAACCAAGTGCTTGGACAGGTCGAACCTTTTGAGAAGCCTTTTTGAAGATGCGTGACTTCAGTCCGGTTCTTGCCATTTTAGTGTATTTTTGTTGGGAGGATACCGTGATATACCCTTGTTGACAGAAGGGAAATAGCAAGATACATCACATGCATTCCCTCATTTAGACAGAAACCATACGTGTTTTGTCGTCCAAGGAAGGTCGTTTGTCTCAATTTTGGATTTCATCCATCCCAACTGGTCCCCGATCAGAGTGGGTTTGATCCATGGTGGGACCTCCCTTTGAACCACTTTTGAGGATGTCTTCAAAGAACGGGACTCCGGTTTTGGGTTTCCGGTGGTTTGAGGGCCCTAGGCTCCCTCCCGTCTCCCAATTTGCGCTGAGGCACTGTCCGTGGCTGATGGAGGAGACAGAAGAGGAGCACGGCTGTGGCTTTACGGACTGCAAGGGCGAGAGCCAGCGGCTCTTCTTCGGCTTGGCGCCTTGGCAGTTGAGGGGTGGCTGCAGTTGGGCTTTGGGTGTGGGGTTGGGCGGACTACCTGTCGAATGGCTGGAAGAGAATCTCGACATTGCTTGTGCGTGCGTGCGTGCATGCAACTGTTTTGTTGGGGAGGTGGAGCCCTGTTTTTTCTGGATGAGTTAAAAAGGCAAACCACGCCATTTTGACCCCGAATTTTCATGTGGGAGCGCTTTGTTTGTGCTGTGGCAGCCTCCTTCTGATTGTGTTTGAAGTTGAATCCAAATGGCTCAATCAGCTGCTCCGCAGCCTGAGACCCAAGTAGCCCTTGAAGCCATGTTCGGAGGTTCTTTCTGGGTTCAAACTCGGAATTCCCAGCTGGATGCCAAGTTTGTTTGGGTTCTCCTATCAAAAGATGCTTGCTGCGATGACAACGAGGGCCGAAACCTTCCCGCGTCTGCCGCTTTCCGCTGAGGACCTCGCCAGCGCCAACGCCTTCTACCCCAGCCGCTTCACCATGTGCCTGCCCAAAGTGAGATGGCGCCTCGATGGGAAGCTTCCTCCGGTTTGCTTCGACCCAGTGGATCCCAATCCGTTTCGCCCGGATACGGTTGCCTGACAAGTTTCCAGCAACTGCTGGAATTTCGAGGTCAGAAAGGCAACCAACGGAACTTCCTTGTGGAGTTTACGTGGCAAGATTTTTACCTACTGATGCAGGCAAAAAAAATGGATCCACCGGGTCACCGTAGGAGTGGTGCGGTTTTCCTTTGCGCTTGGAGGGGTTGCTGTTTAGAATCACCCATGCCAGCAATATGGTGGCGCACTCTTTTCCCATGGCCACTCAAGGGCTGGGTTTTCATTTGGACGCATTGCTCCCCCGCAAATTGAGACAGGGTCACCCTCGGTCCTTGTTTTCGCATTTTCTGGCTACCAAAGTCAGAAGTTGGGGTGGTTTCCGCTTGAAGCCTGGGCGGTTCCATGAATGTTGGGGGGCTCCAGGTATGCCTCGGAGCATTTGGCGGACGGAAGCTATCTGGGGACCAAGATGATGGACGACTGCCTGGAGCCTTGGACGCTACAGCCCGCAAACGCCACAACATGTGGCGAGCCCAAGCTTCGTTTTTCTTCTTGGCCATGTCCGGCGATGTTGGGGGCCCTGAAATTTGGGTCTTGTTGTCGGTTGGGGTTTGCGGGGTGCCATTTGGCAGCTCCACCCTGTGGGTTCACACCCTGAAAACTATGGTGGGGTTCATATAACCACCATTGTTTGCCTAAGGGTTGTCATCATCCAATTAGGGTCTTTGACATTCTTATTGGGGCAAGGAACCCTAGGCCCCAGGTTTCAGGGTCGTTCCCTTGGCTCAGTTGTTCAGTGACCCTGGAAAAAAGGGAACCCTTTTTGGGGAAGACCATTTCTAGTGGGGCCACCCAAAAAAAGTTGGACAAATAATTGGTGCCACTGACTGAACAACTGAGCAATCCAAAAATGGCAGGCGCCTGGGGCTCCTTCCAGTAATCACCCAAGCAAAGCCTCTTGAAGACCATGGGCCATGGGATGTTGGGCCTAAGGAGTACATGACCACAGCGCCAGAGGAGGAGCCCAGAAAGAGACCCAGGCGCGAGACGGTGGACCTGCTGGGTGTCGAAGATGGCGTTCAGAAAGGACTGGTCGTTCTTGCGGGCACGAATTGGCTGTGGTTGTCAACACCGTTTTGGGATCCCATTTTGCTTGGTAGGTGAAAACAAACCACCCGTTTTAGAACCCATTTTAGTGGGGATTGAGACTTTCACTGGGGGTACGATTTGGATTTTGACCCATGGCCCGAAGGACCCTTTAAAATGGTTGGTCATTACCAAAAATCATGGTTGGTCATGGACCCATTTTTGATTCGGTCATGGAGACTCCAGGTATTCTCCAAAGAAAGGGATCGCAAACGGATCGAACGCCTCGAGGTTTCCACGAACTCCCCCCGGGCGGAGGAGAAAACGACGAGAGCGAAGGCGGAGACAGCGACGCCTCGGAACTCGAGGACTGGACTTGGTGGCTTAGAAAGCCATCTGGTGCCTTAGCTTTTTCGGGGACTTGTTTTAGGGATCCTTCTTCCAAAATTGGGGGGCGGTTTCTGAAACAAAACCATGAATGAAGTATGTCATCAGCCATTTTCTAGGTCCCCCAGCTAGGTGCCAACTTTTACCGTTTCTTTTTTGTTGTTGTTGGGAGGGCTCCCCTACTGAAATAGACAACAGAAAAACATCGGATACCCTTATTGCAACCCCCTCCCCACCCCTGCAGCGGAGGAGTTCCTGACTTCGCTGGGCACCAACGACAGCCGCGAGGCCGCCAAGCTTCTGCGGGGACGCGCTGCCTGTGTCGATGTCACCGAGGAACCGAGTCATCTCGATGAGTCGAACACGCGCGAAGGCGCCGCGAAATCCGCGCATGTTGTGGCCTTGAAGGCCCAAACGGCATGGCTCAAAAGGCTTGGTTCCAGGCCCCAAGAAGATCCAAATGTTTTTGTGTGTTTAACATGTTTTAACTTTTTGTTGGGGTATTGGTTCAGGTCTTGGGATGAACTTGGAGACTTGAACCCCTTGAAAGTCCTGCTTAGCTAATTCTCGTGCAGGGATAGCCATGATCTAATGCCGCGGCCAGTTTCTCGGATTGCTGGCAGTTTTTTGGGAGGAACCCACAGGACCCGAAGGGTCCAACTACCTGGAGTCTCCTTCTGACCCGAATCAAGAATGGTTGGTCAGTACCCAAAATAATGGTTGGTCAGGGACCCATTTTTTGATTCGGGTCATGCGTCATGCAAACTCCAGGTAATTATGAGACATACAGCCATGCACGTTTGCCCCTGAGACTTTGGCTTGGTAGGTCAAAGGGGCAGCTGCGCAAACGGCTCCCCCAACCCGACGACTGTCATGGAAACCCATGGGCAAAGTCTAGCTGGCGGGCGAAAGCACGATAAAAACCCTAAAGCTCCCATGGAGATTTCCCCCAGTTGCCCATCGCATCAGAGCAGCGGGTTGCGGGGTCCCGCATTTCGCAGGAGACTTGGCATACGGTGGAGCACCTTCAGGGCCGATGCTCCGTGGTGACGTGCACCAGCTTGCTGACGCAGGTCGAGGGTCGGGTCGTATTGACCTCGAATCCCACGTGCGGTTGCCGAGCGTTTTGCCACCCCACGCCCCCTTTTCACTTCCTGTTGTGTGGAATTCACCTTTTCCTTTCTGTTGCGGGTGCCCCACAAAACATGGTAGCCCGCAAAAGGGAGTGCCTGGAGTCTGCATGACCCTTACAAAATGAGGTCATCAAAATCATGGGGTCATGGGCCTTTTGTTTAAAGGGTCAAGGAGATTCCAGGTGGTGCCCTTTTTGTAGGGCTTTCCATTAAAGTCACCTACTGTGGATGGACAAAAAGTCCCCTGGACACCTGGGTGGCTTCCCAAAAATCCTTAGGTGGTTTCCAATTTCCACCAAGGTCTCAAAAGTTGCAACGTAGGTGGGCTACATGGAGCCCCACATTTGGACGGACGTCTTGCACGGGGCCAACGACATGCTCGAAGAGGGGGGGATCCTCATCATGTACGACTCGGCGACTCGGTGCTGCGGCCTTGTTTCAGGATTCGGGGTGGAACTCGCTCCCTGAGTTCACGGACTTCAAGCTTTTTGGGAAGACCATCTTCTAGTGATATATATATATAAACAGTTTGGGTACTTGTTCGGCCAATCCACTCTCGAAGTGAGGAAAAAGAAGGATTCGCGCTTTGCCATTTTTTTGAGCTGCAATTTGAAATATCCGGCGCTATGTTGAAAGCTCAACTTAAGGCAGCGGACCGGAGGCTTCTTTTGCGAGAGCATGCCATACCCAGTGAGGGGGTGAGGCGCGCCGGCTTAGGAGAAGTGGGGCGACTTTGCCAATGTTGAGAAGACCAAGGAGGGGGCTTTGCCGTCTGACTCTGCTTGTGTTGTGCGCTGTGTGCCTGTGTGCTTGTGTGCTTGTGTGCTTGTGTGCTTGTGTGCTTGTGTGCTTGTGTGCTTGTGTGCTTGTGTGCTTGTGTGCTTGTGTGCTTGTGTGCTTGTGTGCTTGTGTGCTTGTGTGCTTGTGTGTGCTGTAGCTCTGTTTAGCCCTTGCATTTCATATAAGAGTGTCAGTGACCCCATGACTTCAGTGTCAGCTGGTTTTCTTTTTGCTGAGCCAAGTTCAAGCTTGCTCAACAAATTGAGAGAGTGTACACCACTGTGTTATTGTATCGCTTGTGCTTTCCCTGCTCATTTACCGCTGCACTTCAGTGTAGACTCAGACCTGTAGCTGACCATCAACGCCATGGCTGGCGGTACTGTGTTGTCTTTCAGCATTGGACTGGTTTGTTTCGCTTGGCGCCTGGTGGTGACTTCAGCAGATGCTGTCTCATGTTAGCTCAGCATCTTGCGACAGGCCCGAGGATCAGGTCTCATTCCTTATGAAGGGCGCTTTGCCAGTTGCGAAAGTAGAGGAAAGTCGCCTCCAGGTTGCGCCCAACGGAGATCCTTTTGGACGATTTTGATCTGATTTTAGGAGCCGCGTGGGATCGGGGCCCGGGGTCAAGGCCAGTTGTGGAAGATGCCGATGTGCAAGCTGGACCCAAGCCGTTGCAGTACAACAGTTTCTGCGATCAGGCTCAGTTTGTTGGTGGCGGCCAGGATGCACGCGTCTGTATGTTGGATTGGGGGAGCGCTTCTGGCCATGTTGGTTCTGGCTTCGTACATAATTGGTCGTTGCTTGAATCGTGGAGCTTCTTCTCGCTTGATGTCTGAGGCTGACCAGAGGTCACCAGAAGATGTGCCCAACCCGGAAGTTTCAGCGTCGGCTGCACACGTCCATGACGCAAAAACGTCTGGGCCATGGTCAGAGTGTTTTCGGCCTTCGGCTTGGTCTCGGCGGTGGAGGCCGCCCAACCTGTCTGAGCCCCTGAGCTCCGCAACATTGCCAGCAGAATGCCTCTGGGCCGCCGAGCTGGGTGAGTGCGCACACAGTCGCCCCGAGACCATCAAACAGACAAATTGCAAGAATCCGAAGACCGTTTCCAGCGTTGTAAGTAAGAGCACCAGAAGGTCTGAACGCCGGCACGTCCCCTGCTTCCACGTTTGCGAGCATGGCCTTGCCTTCCTGCGTAAGCCCCCCGCTCGCGCAAAGCCCTGCCCCGTGGAGCGAAGCATCCGAACAGGTCACCATGCCACATTGCGCCAGAACGGAGAGATCCAGCCCATCAGCTCCTCCATTGGCAGAGTGGCTGATGCCACACTTCGAAACCAAGGTCGGTGGGTGGCTGTTTTCGTCGTGTTGCGCCAGATATTGTTGGTGTGCTGGTGCATTTTCCTTGTTCTACCAAAGGCAGGCTAGCTACGGAGCTCTGGTTTACGTGTACTTTGCCATTATTGGGATCATGTACCAGCCTTATCACACCTGCCAAGGTACAACATTGTTTGTATTCTCCGCAACGTTTGCCGTCCCCTTTCTAGAGACAAACCCGCTGGCGGGGCAGTGGCTCCGGAAATTTGTGCTCCTGGATGTGCTGGTGCCATCTTACTTCTTCGCAGGCGTGAATAAGCTACGATACGAAGGGCTTTGGAGCAACATTTCCGGCGAATGGGTGGCCAAAGCCGTACGCCGGCAAGAGGAGTTAGAGCCTTCAGCGGCTGGCCTGGATCGCTGGATGGCCTTTGCTCCGGCGATCTTGGCCTCGACACCTTGGCCTTTCACGTTGATGTCCTGGGGCAATTTCGTTGTAGAGCTGGTTCTTCCGCTGCTTGCCATGCTGAGTGGTGCCAATGAGGGCCAGAAGCAAGCAGCAGTGCGTTTCATCTTTGGCCTTGCAGCAATATCTTTCCATGTGATTGTCTATCTAATGATGGATCTCAATTTTCTGCTGCAGATTCTGGTGCTCATCTTTGCCAGCAACCCCTTGTACATGGTTACAGCTTGTGAGCGTCAGGAGAAGCCCCAAGAAGTTGCCATGTCTCTTGGAGACCGCTTCAGGGCAATCTACGCCATGGTCATCCTGGTCTTATGGTATCCTGCAGCGCTGATGTCCGACATAGACCATCTCACGGCTAAGATGAAGCAGCACCAGGCCGCATGAGAGAATCTTCCCGTTCCCCGAGTACTCTATGTTTCTCCACGCTGCTGCAAACTCGAACTTCTACTTTAGTTCTGGGGTCTTGGTAACGTTCGTGGTCTTGTTGAAGATGCTGAGGGACGTTCACCAGGCTGCGTCTCGCTGAAAAAGACTTTTTTTGTTTCTCGACGATCCACCGAACGCAAGAATGGACGGATTGTGGAAGTAACATGCTGAGAAGGACCGCTGGGCGGAGCTTAGCGAAGTGTTGTCACGTTCAAGCCTATTGTGTGTGTGTGTGCGCGCCTGGAGTCTCCATGACCCTCAAAACATGGGTCCATGACCCCATTACTTTCGGTCATGGACTCATTTTTAAAGGGTCATGGAGACTCCAGTTGTGTGTTTTGTGGATGCCCTCGAGCTCAGGTTGTTTTTTCTTATTCCAGGAAATCAACACTCCCAGTTGCCCAGTGGCGCCCTTTTTTCAGCTTTTTTGGGGAAGGGTTTCCCTTTAAAGTCAACCAACCAAAAAAGGATGCCCTTTTTTCCCATGGCCACTGGGCATTTGGGCCACTTTTTTCCTATGTCGGACGTCCAAATTTCCCTCTGTCACACATGCCAGCAGCACAGCTTTTGTCTTCGGGTCCAAGACAGGAATAATCTGAGTGAATTATAACGCCCTCACACGACCTCACCCCAAATGGTGGTGTATGTGGGGAATATCCCTCCAACCACCTTATTTCAGTCTGGTGAAATATTATTATTCACAGAAGAATCAGGAAGAGATGAGCTACCACTCAAAAGGTCGGTACAAGGGATCTGTACTGGAGTGGAATAGGGTCACCAGCGTGGGCATGGAAGCTTTGAGCAATTGAAGCACGGCAGGAGCACCTCCAGAAGCAAAACCTGGCCTTGCAGTTCTTGGAGAGGAAGGAGCCTGTGGATTTTTCGGGCGACCCCGACGGACGCATGTTCGTGATGGTCTTCAAGAGGCTTTGCTTTAAGTGTGATTACTTTGGAGCCCCAGGCGCCTGCCATTGTGGGATTGTTGCTCAGTTGTTCAGTGGCACCAATTATTTGTCTTTTTTTTGTGGCTGCCCAACTAAAAATGGTCTTCCCCAAAAAGGGTTCCCTTTTTTTCCAGGGTCACTGAACAACTGAGCTTGGTGCCCAAGTGGAAGCCAAAAGGGAAGCCACCAACAGGGTTAGTTAAAGGGAAACCAAACTAGAACCACCCCAAAATAGGATTTGGTTCCAAATCCTAGTTTGACAGATGAAACGGAGAGCGTAAACCGGCTGAGGCCACCTCCTTTAGGAACGCAACAAGTATTGTCAACCATCAGTTTGCGATGCATGTTGACAGGCACCACTGGATTCAACATATTGTCCACCAAAAGCAACATATCATTGGTATTGGTTTATGTTAGGTTGGTGCATCATATTATTGGTTCATTTAGGAGGTTGCCAACACGTTCAGGTTGACCCCGCAAAGATTTTGCCAGCCCCAAGGGACCCATGCAGGGTCATTTGCAGCTCCCGGCGTGAAGCATGATCAGGGAGAAACCGGAATAGTCGGCATTTTCACAAGGACTTCCATTCAGAGGATCACGCACATGATCTGCCCAAGATAAGCATGAACCCTGCATTCCTGTGTTTTGCCACCCCTATGTTGTCATTTGTATTATTTGTTGTACTTAGTCAGCCTGGAAGTCAGAGCTGTTTCATGTTCAATTCTGGGCAGCAAGTTGCCAGGAGTAAGCTACACCAGCTTAGCGCATGTCTTGGGCTCTTACGAACCGACGCATGCATGCTACGAGAGATAGACCCTAGCGCAAGGGTCTGCTGAGCCGCCGATGGAAAATTTTTTGTGGGGTATTTTCCCAGAAAGACTTGTACTTGGCTTCCTGAAGTCTCCATGACCCTGTAAAAATGGTTGGTCATTACCCAAAATAATGGTTGGTCATGGACCCATGTTTAAAGGGTCATGGACACTCCAGGTGAAAACTTGCTTAGGAAGACACGGCCCGCGGAGGGGAAGGGCTTGGCATGGCTGCTGCAGAAGGCTGAAGACTTGAAGCACACGGGCAACAGCCGCTCGCAAGAAACCGGGCCCGCGCGGATGGATATTTTTTTTGTGTGTGCCTGGAGTCTCCGGATCTGAGCCTTTAAAAATGGGTCCATGACCTAGCAGGAGACGGGGATAATGACCAACCATTCTTTAAGGGGTCATGGAGACTCCAGGTGGGTTGCTCGCCCTGTTGAGGGGACCCGTTTCTTGGCGGCAGAAGGGTGGCTTGGGAAACGAACAGGAAAGCCATGTTTTTCGGAGAGGGAGTCCGATTCCCAAATCCCATGTTTGTCAAAAGTAGTTGGACCCGTGAAGATGGCCACCCAGCGGATTCAAATCCCAGCGGTTCATGTTTTTTTCTCTGAAACCCTTTAACATCCGCTACTTCAAAAACCTGTGTGCTTTAATGGCCAACAGTTAAGTGCCCATGGTTCTAAACCATTGGGGGAAGCCTTTCAGCTGCCTTGCCTCGCCCAACCAGGAATCAGCAAAAGCCAGAATCTTGCCCGCAGCTTTCTGCCTGATTGCTGGACTAAAACCGCCTTCATGTCCGCCTCCACGCGCATGCGCCGCACCAGGTCTCCATAGCTCGCCGAGCCATCACAGGTCCCCTGGCATGTCTCAAAACATCAATCGCGCGGTGCTAAGCAGCTCCACATGGTTTTCTGAGGTGTTTGTGGAGGGCCGGACAGGGTCCCTCTTGAAAGGTTTGCTTGACAAGGTATGTTCAGCCAGCTGTGCGGAAAGGGACAGAAAAACGGAACCTCCTTTGAGAAGCATCCTCGGGGGAACCTTTGTGCCTATCACAAACGTAGTGCGCAAATTTGGGCATTGACGAGTACAGCACGACGGCATCGCTCGTTCTCCCCATAAATTCAACTAAGCGAGACTCCAAATATCAGAGACGCAGGCGCGCGCGCGCGCGCGCAAAGCAGCCTTGGTGCTACATTGGCTCGGGACTCAGGTCCTGCGCAGTCAGCGCGAAGCGCCAACACGAGGCGCGAACGCCACATCCCAGACGCGACACAGCGGCAACCGGCGACTGGACGCGCCAAACACGAAGAGCTCCTAGGAATTCGCGCGCGGAGACGCCTTGATGAATCTGGGGGAAAAGACATATCTTGGGTTCCGCTGGGGCTGCATGTTCTAATTCTCCAGGGCTGGAGAGGGACTGGTGTTACTCGGGGGGTGCTGTCCTCAAAGGGGGGTTGGCTACTCGTTATGAGCTTGTCAAACTTTTTTGTTTGCAAGTTGTGATAAGGCATTTGCTGTTTTTCGGCTATCCGTTTTTTTTTTCTGGGTTGGCAGCTTTTCAGACTATGAAAGGAGATAGTATTGGCCAAAGTATTGGGAATAGATTTTGTAATTTATAAGGGGGGTGTTTGTCAGAATATATGGCTATGGGTCAAATTCCCAGTACCCCCATTCAGCATCCCAATCCCCACTAAAATTGACAAAAATGGGTGGTGCACCTTACCCCAAAATGGGATCCCATTGGTGTTGACCCACAGCCAATCAGTCCCCTAAAACAGGCTTTTAGGTTTCCGTGTGGTTTCCCTGATGACACATGGGGTCCACGTAGCGCCGATCCAAGGCAACATTGAGCAGAGTGAGACCCATCTGAGCCACAATCAAAACCCGCGATGGGTCAAAGCAATTTGGGGTAGGTGCACCACCCATTTTAGCCTACTTTAGTGGGGATTGGGATGTTCACTGGGGTACAGGGTTTTGGACCCAGAGCCATATGGGTGCAGATGTCCGACCTTGAGATTCTTGAGGTGAAATGGGTCCCGACCATTCTAGTACAAATCGTTTTTGAGTATGACTCACCTTAGCTATTGCCAGTGGTGCCCTTTTTCCATTGGGGGTTCCGTTAAAATCACCTACTGTGGATAAACAAAACTTCCCCCAGGTCAGTACCTCATTCCAGGGTTCCTGAACGGTTCTAAATGGGTTTCGCAACCCTCCACAGACCCATCTATTCTTTTCAGGGATCCTTTGTTCAAAAACTGGGACGAACCCCCAGTGGTTTCCAAGACAAAACCATGAATGAAGTAGGCAATCACCATTTTTTTATTGTTGGTCTTCAAAAGGGTGGCAAGGCCTTGCAGACCTAAACCCAGGCAAATGGATCCACCTGGAGTCTCCATGACCCTTTAAAAATGGTATGACCCCGTGATTTTGGGTAATGACCAACCATTTTTTATTCGGGTCAGACGGAGACTCCAGGCACTGACCATAAACCCGAGGGACCAAGCCATCATCTGAGGCTTCTACACCAACACGGCGCGGCACCGAGCGGCGCAGCAGAAGCCAGCGCTGAGCTCCAGCCCCAAAGTGGCGGCGCTCTGGAAGGCACGCCCCGGCGGTTCCGGCGGCAGACGGCCTCGGGGTGCCGGATTTGGGGGGCAAATGGTGAAGGCGTGTTCCTTTCTTAGGAGTCGGATCCCCCAAAAAAGCCCCAAAAACGTCCGCCCCCCCCCTCAAAAAAAAAGAAGAAGAAGAAGGGGTGGCCTCGGGATTCTGGGGGAGCAAATGGGTGTGTGGTTGTTTTGGGAGTCGGTGGGCTTTGAGCTGATTTGCCAAAGATGGGCGGCTCGTTCTTGCAGTATCTTTTGGGCTTGAGGGCGTAATTATGCTTGGTTCGGGGGGCATGCTTGGTTGTGGGGCGTTGCCCCAAACCACCAAAACTAGCGCAACCCTGAAGCCACTGCTAAACCAGCCGCACACCTACCCGGAGTCTCCTTCCGACCCTTTACCTGGAGTCTTCATGACCTAAAAATTGGTCCATGACCCAAAAGAATGGTTGGTCATGGACCCATTTGTTCAGGGTCAGATCCGGAGACTCCAGGCAGCGCCAACAGGACAACCCACCACGACAAAACCGCGCGCGCCAGGCGGTGGGATGCTACGTGCAGGCCTTGGACTGCTTTTCCCTGGCGCGCGCGGCGATGGAAAACGCCGAGCATGAGTGCCGCGAGCAGAAGGAGCAGCTCCGGATGACCTCCTCGAGGCCAATTTGCTGGCCTGCTACATGGTTGTTGTAGGGAAACATGTTACATGCTTGCTTATTGTGGCTTAGTGCGAAGTCCCCACTGAACTGCTAGATGTTTTTGCTCCCCTTCCAACGTCAACCAAGGGTAGTCAGCCATCCACAGATATCCCAGCAATAACCAGGGTGACAAGCCGCGTACTAAGCAATTCGAACCCCGGACTGCAGTTTGTGAATGGGTGTCCTTGGGGAGGGGAACACGCTCCTATCAATGTGAAGGTTTTGTTTAGTTCCGGGGTCAACGTTACGTTGGGGTGTTTACCCAAATGTTGCAATCAAACCGACCATACTCAACCGGCTGTGGGTCAAAACCAATGGTACCATTTTGGGGTAGGTGCACCACCCATTTTAGAACCTATTTTAGTGGGGATTGGGATGTTCATTGGGGCCAACCACCCACGCTTTATTAGAGTGTTTATCCTGGATATTTAGATTCAACCAGAGCCGCAATCCAAAGTCGTAAATGTTAGTAAGGGAGAATCCCAAGCATACCTGAGTGCAGATATCCGACCTTTTAGTCATTCTTGACACGGATTTCGGTAGGCCATACCAGCTTTCGATTGTGACTCTGATAGATTGCTACCCCCATAAAAGGATTCTGCCTTACATGGAACACCCCCCTGTTAATCAACCAAGGTTGACGAATCATGTGACAAAGTTGCTGCAAACACAATTCTGATTGCGCGAATTGCAACCACTGTGATACCAATGAACGGCCTTGACGAACTCTCCATCCAGGGATCTACTCTGGTATTGCGGGAGTGCGACCTACCCCGCATTGCCGCGGCCCAGGTGATCAATTGTACACCCTCAAACATGGTGGCCATATGTGGCCATAAACCCGCATGCGAATTAAATTTGGCGGGTTGTTCGCACCGCCGACTTTTGGGTGCCAAGAAACGCCTGGCAAAGATGGGACCCCTTTTCGCCATCAGATGCGCCTTGATTGGAGAGTTTTACGACAAAGACCACTAGGCAAGAAGCAAGAACCCTTTCGCCTTTTGGATGGGCAAGGTGTCACTGCCTTGTTCTGGGTTTCAATATATATTCACCTTTCGACGGGGTGATGTTTTGCTGGAACAGCCTTGAACAGCCTGTACAGGTTGGGTGTATTTGTACTCAAGTCGTGTTTATTGTTGCAACCGTCCAAGCAAATTGGTGCAGTTTGGTTATTTAGCTGTTTGGATGTTGTTTGCTTGTTGCCGGTTGAACAGTTGAAGCGGTTGCCTTGTGCTTGATGGTTGGTTCTCGATGTTTGGTGCCAGCTTGCTCTTGTCGTTTCTTGGATATGGGGTCATGGGCGTTCCGAACCCGAGTCGTACTCATGGCCCGATGTTTGATGACGGCAGCAGTCAGAGTCAAGCAGACGGGTGCATGATATTTAGAGCTTATTGCGGGTCCTCAAGACGACACGTGCTGTTGATGATCATCTTGGAAGACACTTGTTGGCATGTTTGTGTTATGTATACCTGGAGTCTCGATGACCCTTTAAAAATGGGATCATTACCCAAAATAATGAGGGGATCATGGACCCAGTTTTCAAGGGTCATGGAGACTCCAGGTAGGGCTTCATCTATCCCAAGTGGTGCGAAATGGATTTTGTTCACCAAAAGTAGAATTCACCCGGTTTGCTCCGTGCAGACTCTACTCGAACCTGGCGGCTGCCTATTTAGAGCTGGCGCCCACTGCACAGACCTACCACCATGCCATGGTCAGCATCAACCTGGCTTTGGCCACTCAATTGAAGATCCATAGGTGTCCTCTTCAGGTTGGCTTGCTTAGAAATACCACTCAACTGAAGATCCATGTGTCCAGAAATTGATGGCACTGGGTTAGATTTGTTTTATTTGATTTTTCACGGACACCCATTTGTTTGTCCAAGAGGACGCCAATGCTGCCCGGTGCTCAAGTGATCATTTAATTCCATTTGCTTAAGACTATGTTTGTGATGTTCCCCTGTTGGTTTCAAAGGGAATCCATCTTGGTTTTAAAGGGAATTTATCACTATTGGAGGTTTGCTTGTTTTTGTCCAAGAAACTCTGCCGCAAATGGAGGTTTACCAAAATTTGGCACGATCCCCCACCCAGTTGGTTGCCATCATTGATTTGCCAAGAAAGGTGGTGGTGTTTTGCATGTAAATGGGGTTCTCAAAGTGCTGAACCCCTTTTTGGCTGGCACTTAAAGGGAAACCAGAAGTAAACCAACCATTTGAGGGGACCCGCGCTGAAAAAAACCCTATAGTACGTGAACCGACTTCACACCTTGGACAACCAGCAGAGACTGCGATGAGACTCCTTTTGGGTCACCCAAATCGGAGAAAGGTGTAGGAATGAGGGCTTCTGCTTGCCTGGGTCACTTTCCGCAAGCATGAAACCCGCTGGCGAGAAACCAGCAACGGTTCATGGGGTCTATGGTACGTATAAGTAAGGCCTTTGAAAGCCATTTTCCCCATGTTAGAATCAAAAGTCGGGAGTCGGGAGTGCAATTTTCTGCAACTCAACCTTGGACTCCTAAACGGGAGTTCCTGGACTCCTCGACAGACCAGTTTGGACTTTGTGCCAATCCTCTCAGCGACAAACGGGGGCGGGGCGCCTCCCCCCAAAAACCTACCACGCGCCCCGCAAAAACACCTCTCTCTTTCTTCTTCTTTTTCCGGCGGGCGAAATTCCCCAGGCGCTCGACTCCACCTGGAGTCTCCTTCTAACCCTTAAAAACTGGGTCCACGACCAACCATTATTTTGGGTTTTTGCAAGGGTCAGAAGGAGGACTCCAGGTGGGTTGCTCGTCCTTTGTTTTCAGGGGAGGCAGAAGGGTGGCTTCAAAGGGAACGAAAAGGAGACTCCAGGCATCTCGAATCGAAGTGGTTTGGGACGAATCTGAGACCTGCGACCCCGAGTGGGACAAGGCCCAGGAGAGGAAGGCGAAGATCCAGGCCGCGCTGGCAAAGCGCAGCGCCGACTCCTGAGGCAGCGGAAGGAATTCAAATCGCGTCCTGATGGGTGACTGCTTGTTGGGGCTTGACACACGGGGAAGGTTTTTTGTGGACTACTATGACTAGTTACTTCTTCTTTTGTTTGGTAGATGTTTTTGTTTCCTGATTTTTGGTTGGGGGGTGTTGAGGGGGGAGGGGTGCTGGTTCTTCCGTAAGCCGGGCTTGACATGATTTGACCGTAAGCAAGTGATGGATACCTTACAGAGTACTTCCAGGCAGGCCGTAGCCACGGGTTTCGCACCTCCATGTTGATCGTTTTGAGCTTGTTTGGGAGGCAGGGGGGGTTGAGGGGTCGAATCCTGTAGGAAGGTTGAGTTAGTACCAGGCTGTGGGACACAAGCACTGGGGTGTGGGGGAAAGGTTGGTGTTTGGGGGGCAGGGGGGTTGAACCGCATAAAAGAGTGCACTCGAAAAACCGCTGGACACCTCGGCCGATTTGGCCAGACGCCACAGCTGGGAGTCGTTTAGAGTCGTGGCGCATAGTCGCCACTGGAGTCTCTGTCCGAGCGAGTTCTCGCTAAAGCTTCCAGGACCCTAAAAAAGAAGCCTTCAGCTGATCCTCCATGACAATCAAGTACCTGGAGTCTCCTTCTGACTCCAAGACAAAATGGGTGCATGACCAACCATTCTTTTGCGTAATGACCAACCATTTTTTAAGGGTCATGGAGACTCCAGGTAGCCATGTGCTGCTTAATACGAGGACTCGCTGAATGCCAAGGCCTGATGGCTCCGTAGCGTCGACTGCTGCGAAGTTACCACGGCTTCGCTTCGTTCCGTCCCCCGACAGTGTAGGGGCCAGTCCCCGCTTCTTGGCAGGCCCTCGAATTTCCTGTTTCCAAATGAAACAACCTGGAGTTTCCCTCTGACCCGAATCAAAATTGGTCGGTCATTACCCAAAAGAATGGTTGGTCATGGACCCATTTTTGAGTCGGGTCAGATGGAGACTCCAACGCATGCATGGTGTTTGTTGAGGGTTTGCAGGGTACCCTTTTCACTTGATGGAAGCCAAAAGGAAACACACATTTGTCGAGGGTACCTCCCCTTCCCCCCCGCAATATTGACACATGGTATCCACAATGTTTCGTGAGTCTGTAGCGAGGTTTAAAACTAGGTTTGAATATAGTATAGTGGTGCCATGGTCCCAACCTCATGTTGCCATCTTGAGCAGAACTGTGGATCGAGATCTTGAGCACCGGCTCTCTCGACGGAAGACTCCGAGTCTTTTGTCCCTTTGCCTTGGTGTTTGATCCAAAGCATGGAGTCTGTTCCAGGGGTTCAAGTCCCGAAAAATGTTCGTGCCACGGGGTTTTCTTCGTGAAGCCAATCCACGGAAACGGCACCCCTTCGTGTTAGATCCGCTTCCTCCACTGTGGGCCGCCTGTGTCACCCCCGTTTCCAGGTGGTTTGAGGGGGTGTGCGGTGAGGTTTGGGTAGCACAGGCTTCAGATGACGCGTGCTTAGCCTGGTTGCGGGGCTGAGCTTCTCGGTGAAAATTCCCAACTGATGCGATCACCAATGCAGTATCCATCTCTGAGTTGCAGTGATGATCTCATGGTTCGCGGCTTTGGCATTCTCGCGGCAAAGCCTGGTTAGCCTTCATTGAACAAACATGGAAATACGCTTCTCGCGTGAGAAGAGTTGTCGTGAGTTCTACTTGTTTGAAGGGCCACATGTTCTGAGATGACATTTCAACCTACTATCCACATGGCTTTCCCGTCCTGGGTCGCCAGTGGTGCCACCGGCATTCCACGACGATAATTTGCCCTTGGCGTTACCTCTCAACGCTTGAAGCAAATGCTAGATGAAAGCATAATCCGGAATTGGGGTGGTAAGGCAATAGCTGAACACTAAAGCAAAATCACTGAACGCTGACCAGTGGCCAAATTGAAAGCTCTTCCAGTGGATTCATTTACCTGTATAGCGGCTGTAGGGCTTGCCTCCCCCAAAAAAAGGCAACAGGACATTGGCTGGTTACCTACTAGACGGGCTTGCCTTAGATGCACTTGCGCCAAAGATCACAGCGCGCGGCCCGAGCGTCGGAATCGACCAAAAGCCCGCGCATGCGGCGCATGCGGATTGGGTGCTTGTCTCATTTCAAGGAGACCTTGAAGAAATTGGTGGCTGTGCGAATATTCTGGTTGTTCCCCTTCAACACCACACAGGGTACCATCAAACAAAAAGAACATGCAATTGAGTGTAACTTTTCAAGAGGTGAATTGGTGCCACAATCGTTAGGTACTTTGGTGTGGGCGTTATTGCTTATTTCAACGTACATGTTTGAGGGGGCGGGTCCGACATGGGCTGAGAGCACTGCAGCTATGACGAGCAGACAGGTCCCAAACCGGTCTTGACTACAATGGAGTCTCAACCCTGACTGGCTGAGGGGTCTTGGCCACGACTACGTTGTCACGAAATTACATCGAGCTCACCTCAACCTAAAATGTAGTGAAGATTCCTTGAAAGGATTTGTTCCTTCAGGTCTACGAAGTACAGTATTTTGCCCAGCTCAGTGACAAAGCAAACACAAAACACAACACACGTCTTGCAGGCCTTTCAATAGCTGTCAAATGGTCCTAACTCGCGGAAAGGAGCTCGCTGACTGCAAACAAACCAATTGATTTGCCCATCATGGTGAGTTCACCGGAAGCTAAAACCAGCTCACCGTGGGAAGGTTTGTTAAACAAGGGCCCTTTGCTTCAGGGACTTAGTCGCCAGTTCCTTTTTTTGGTGGCTTCAAAAAACAGATGGTCAACCCAAGAGTGTTTGGTGGCTTCCCTAAAGATGAGGAAAAGCATCAGGCCCCTCAGACTCTCCATGGATCCGGGTGAAACCCCGGGAACCGGAAGCCGAGGCCTCCACCATCCAAGCACTTGCGGCGATGATCGGCTCGCCTCGGCCTCGTTCTTTGGGTGAAAGGTCCGGCCAGCCGGGCGAAAGGATTGGAACACCCTAGGAGTTGATTCCTTTTCCATTATTTTCAACCATCGTTCAAAAACCAGCTGTTTCCCCATTATTTTTGGGTGGTTCAACAACCAGCTGTTTCCCCAGGGTTTTTGGTGGTTCAAGAACCAGCTGTTTCCCCAGGGTTTTTGGTTGTTTTGTAGAAAGAAGGATGCCTGGAAAGAATGGACATGGAAGGTACTCCTAGAAACACTTGGTGCAGCTGAAATGCGTGTGGCTCAAAACTTTAGAGCTAGGGCAAACCGCAGGTTTTGGTCTTTGATTCCATTTACCAAGGTGCCATTTTAGTACATGTTTTTGAGCCACAGCCAAATGGGTATGTTTGTTTCACTAGGGACCCGAAATGGTGGACATCATTTAGGGGATTCATGTCCAGTCACTTGTGAGGTGGTTCCGTACTGTGTTGTTGTTTTTTGTTTGTTTTTCGTTCTGTCTTTGTTTCTTTCTTTCGTTATGTCTTTCTTTCTGTCTTTCTTTCTGTCTTTCTTTCTTTTTCTCTCTGTTTTTGGACAGAGGGGCCAGAGAAGAGACTTTGTCGGGGGAGAGCCTTTTATTGTTCGGAGGTAACCTTCACTGCCTTGGACCGCGCGATGTTTTGCCGACTTTGGTTTGCAGGCATTTCCATCTGCGTAACTGCCTAATGTATGGCGAGCTCACCTGGGGGTAAAACGAGCTCACCCTGGCAAAGATCCTTTGCTTGTGGATTCCTTGTTTCAGGTTTTGGACATTCTTGTAATCTTGCAGGCATAGGTGTCCTTTTTGGTTGTATTGCTAGAAAAATAGATGGCCCTGGTTTACCTGGTGATTTCATCATCTACCAGGGCCATCTATTTCCCCTAAAAGGACACATGCTTGCAGGCCTTCCATTTAGCCGTTGGCCCGAACTCTTGGCCACCAAAATTGGTGGTGCTTGGTGTTCCGCCGGCGGGTCGTCGCAATGAAGTGGTTCCTGGCGCTCAGCCTTGTGGCTTCCGTCCTTGCCATCACCACCAGGAGATGGACACGAGTCCATGGGTCGCCCCTGTCACGTCCGGTGAGTCCGGTAAGCCCCAAGCAGAAATCGCAGGCGACCCATCAGCTGTTTTACACGTGTTTGAGGTGTTTGGCCAACGGTCCCCAAGTTCCGTAGCTGGACTTCACAAAACAAGGGAGGTTTGCTCGTGATTTATTTGCACGTTGCTTCAATTCGGCCATGCCTGTGGTTCATTCTGTGAGAGAATGAAGTGTTTCTAGATCCACGCGTGAATCGATATGATTCTTATTTGGAATCGATACGACGCGTAATGTGCTAATGGTTGTCACAAAGAGGATCGTTGTGGCATGGGCGATTCACGTGGTAGCAACAGGATGGGAACGGTTAAAGTTCAGGCCGCATTGAATGCTCACACCGGCCTTTTTGGATCCTTTGAACCTGCGACCATTCTCGCAGGACGGAGAGTGGTGGGAACCCCATCCGGAAGGTGCGGGAGTCAGCGGGGAGAGCGCATAGGGTTCCGGCGGGTTGGTTGCCAGCCGGGTAGCGGAGCGCATACACCGCGAGGAGATCCTAGCGCATGGCCATCGCAAGCAGTCAACCTGAAATGCCACACTCTGAGGCAAGTTCTCGCATGAAACAGCGAGTCGCAGGACGCATGGTCGAATCCCGTTTGGAGAGAACGGATGTTTACGTTGTTTGCCAGGTGGTCAGGATGATGGAAAAGATGTCGTCGAAAATTGAGAAGGAGGCCGAGAAGGAAGAGGATTTGTATGACAAGTTCTCTTGCTATTGCAAGAAGACCATCGCCGAGCTCGAAAAGTCGCTTGGCAAAAGGCACACACAACTCAGGAATATCCTCACTTAACAATTTAACGGCTTCTCGAAAGGGCTTTTGGTGGTTGTCCTGGAGACCCCATAGTTGGTTCAATTGAGAACGGCTTCTCAACTTGCTAGGGGTGGTTGCCCTCTAGACCAACATTTAGACGGTCCTTCAAGAGGATGTCACGTATCGATGAACAAGGTAGGTTTCTGATGACCGACCACGTGAAACGGCCTCAATTCATGGCTCGGCGCCTCCTTGAGCATGCGTCGCTATGATTTCTGCTTTGATGTGTGGAGACGGTTGTTTTTGCGGTGAGCTGTGCACCCAGCCAAGTTACACAGTCGCACAATACGTGCGTACGTACATACATGCCTGCATGCATGCATGCATACGCAGATACATACATGCATACATACATGCATGCATACATACATACACATGCATACACACATAGATACATACATACATACATACATACATACATACATACATACATACATACATACCTACATACATACATACATACATACATACATACATACATACATACATACATACATACATGCACTAGATTGCATTACATCATACTGCATTACATTACCTGACATTACATTACACTGCATCGCAGTACATGCATGCATGCATACATGCATACGTGCATACGTGCATATGTGTATACATGCATACATGCATACATGCATACATGCATACATGCATACATGCATGCATGCATACATACATGCATGCATACATACATACATACGTACATACATACATACATTACATACATTACAACATACATATACACATTACATACATTACATGCATGCATGCACAGATACATGCATGCATACATACATACATACATACATGCACACGTACGTACATAGATGCATACATACATACATGCATACATACATACATGCATACATACATACATATATACATACATACATACATACATAAAAAAAAAAAAAAATACATACATACATGCATACATGCATGCATGCATTCGTACATACACGCATACATGCATACATGCATACATGCATGCATGCATACATGCATACATGCATACGTGCATATCATACATGCATGCATGCATACATACATGCGTACATGAATACATACATACATACATACATACATACATACATACATACATACATACATACATACATACATACATACATACATACATACATACATATATGCAACGATAGATGCAAACAGACAGAGACGGATGCAGCGACAGCGACAGAGACAGCGACAGAGACAGAGAGACAGACAAACGGACAGACAGACAGAGACAGAGAGACAACGATACAGACAGACAGAGACAGAGACAGAGACAGAGACAGAGACAGAGACAGAGACAGAGACAGAGACAGAGACAGAGAGAGAGAGAGAGAGAGACAGAGACAGACATACAGACAGACGGACAAACAGACAGACAGAGACAGAGACAGAGACAGAGACAGAGACAGAGACAGAGACAGAGACAGAGACAGAGACAGAGACAGAGACAGAGACAGAGACAGAGACAGAGACAGAGACAGAGACAGAGACAGAGACAGAGACAGACATACCGACAGACAGACGGACAGACGCACGGACAGACGGACAGAGAGACAGAGAGACAGAGAGACAGACAAACGTACATACAAACGTACATACAAACGTACATAGTCTTACTTAGATGAGGCTGGCTCATATGCTTGGTTCCTTGCAGTCCGCTTCCAAAAGGTTCGGGTTTCGCGGACACCAACCGGCGAAGGTTCGCCGTGAGGGCACCAGGTGGTTCCAAAGGGCTCGTTTGCCGCTGTAACATTTCGGTCGCCGGCTAGGTTTGAAATCATAGTGTTTTCTGGTTGCCTGCCATGGCACTGGGGAAAAATCAGAAAGAACTTTGGTCTTCTGTTGGCTATTTCAAGCCCCTCAGTATGGCTTCGGTTGCCCCCTGTTGCCCTGAGCCCCTTAAAGGAAGCGAGGGGATGGTTTTCAGATGGTTCTGTCATTCCCTGAGAACCACAAAAGCCTTTTCAAGTCCCAAAGGTTCATTTGTCAGACCTCCAGTGCCCTGGTTCATATGTTTCCCCTGTTAGAGGTGCCCTTTGATTCCACCACCCTGGTTCCTGAACTTATAATTTTTGGGCAACAAACAAGTTCAGACTTCTCTGACCAATCCGCTCAGGAAGTGAATTCTTTCTGGAGTTTTCTCCAAATGGTGGACCCCTTTTGGGATCTTTGGGAACGGAAGCCGGCAGGAACCAACCCATTTTCTGGGGTGCAATTTTCCGTTTTGACAAAACCATGCCCAAACTTGAGTGAAAAGGTTAGCCTCAACACACACAGATGGGTTCTGCAAGGCCCCGAAGAAACCCGGCGATTTCGCTGTCCTCACGGGTCCCAAGGAGCATCCAGGAGGCGGAGCAGAGCCCCATCTCTCAAGCGGACATCGATGCCAAGAAGTCTCAGATTGTGTCGCTTCAGCAGGACAGATGGCCATGGGTCAAAAGCCAAATCGTACCCCCAGTGAACAGGATGGACGAAAATGGGTGGTGAATTCACCTACCCCAAAATGGTACCATTGGTGTTGAACCGCAGCCAGATGAGTCTGAGCTTGTTTGACGTGCTTGTGAGTTTTCGTCGTTGTTGTTTTTTTTGTTGGGGGGGGGGGTTGCGCAAGTTGCAGTCAAATCGTGTGTGGTTGCTAGCTGTCTTGCTTGTTTTTTCCGAATTGCATTGAACTCATTCCCACATCCCTATTGCCTATTGATCACGGGGAATAAACCGGGCACCTCCTTCATATGTGCAAGGGTCAAAACACGTTATGTAGAGGTCTTCATTGCGGCCGCCGTGACATAACTGTTTTTTGAAAAACATGTGTGTAGCGACAGGGGGCCTTGAGTAGCGACACCCCTGTTTAGGGCTTGCATGTATGTAAGTCCCCATGGAACATGTTTGTAAGTACCTTTTTACTTGCATGGGAACGGAAGTACGTGCTGAACACATCGTGGAAGTCTAAGTCCCGGCTGCGACGCAAGACAGGTTTGAAGGATCTCGTCTTGGCAGTTTGAGCGTTCCAGTTTAAGAGGTGCTCCGTCGCCTTGGCGGGGACAGGCGACGATGCAAGCAAAAAAGAGGCACTGTGCTTTTGAAGTAGGGGCCCCTGGGAAAAAATCCGGCACCCGTAGCGACACCCAAAGCGACACCTTTCAGATTATGGAGCGACACCCAAAATCACTTCAGGTAGGCAGTTGAGCAGCTCTAAAAACCCTCCGTTACATCCCAAGCAATAGTTGTGTCATAACAAGGCCCCGCGTAAGCAAAACACTGCACGGCGTAAGCCGGCGTAAGCACTTTTTGGGGAAACATGCTGCGTAAGCACCCGCGTAAGCTCATGTTTGAGATTGCTGGGTAGGCTTGGTAAACATGCAGGGAAGAGCTGTTTCACACAAATGCTAGTTTGTTTTTTAGAAAAGGGACCCTTGGCCAAATTCAAATAGAATCTTCTGGTAGTATCTGTTGAGTAGTAGCCCTTTAGGTTTCCAATTGCTGGGGCCAGGTTGTGGCTTTTGAGGAGGGGCAGGGACCCCCTTGATTAATCAGGGGGGGGGGTTCTCTTGGTCAGGCCTTGAAGGGGGGTACCCTTTGTGGCCTTGGCAAACCTGCATTTCTTAAACAGGATGTAGTAAAGAAATTGGCTGTTTGGGAATGCAAACTTTTCGAAATATTGTGGTGTTCAACCAATTCGAGCTTGACTTGTCCGAGTGCTTGGCCACGAATTCACTGCCTGGATGGAGTTTTGCATGGTTTGTTTTGATTGTGGCAGTCAACATTGTAGGGGTGTCTTTGTTGAAAACCTATCGGAGCTGCGCTGCTCAGAGACGGAGATGGGGAAACAATCCCGACCTTCGTGCCCGAAGGGCTGGCCCACATTCTGCCATGTGAAGCAATGCGCTGGGCAAATGTGCCAGCCAGTGTGGAGTGAGCGTCATGAAGTTTGGATCGCTTCGTGTGACACTTGGTGCCAATTTGGCTTGACACCCGTTTTGCGCATTGGTTGTGTTGCAAATAGTTGGTTTTCCTGGGCTTCCCTTTTCCACATTTTTTGACCCACCCAAGCCGGGAACCCTCAAACAAAGGCTCCCTCAAACTGTTTCCCTTTGAACGGCGGTTTGGGGGAATTCGGGACGCTTGCCAGCGTGCTTTTGGATTCGAGGACGGTTACCAGCAGTCTACGGCAAGTGGTAAGAACAGAGCCTCACACCACCAAGCGGTGCACCTTTTTGGCTCTTGGACAACAACATCCTGCTTGTCAAAAACCTTGCGGGAGTACGGGCAGAGCAAGGGCCAAGCATCCAAGCAGAAGAGCCGGGTTGAGCAGGTGGGGTGTTTTTGACCGTCTTCGGTTCTTGTAAGTGGCGGCTTTCTTGCTTCAACATCTCTAAGGGTCAGGGCTGGAGTTGCCGCACCCCTCACAGGCAGCGCCAGCAGATGAGAACCAAGACCGCACCTTGGCTGATCTTGCTGGCCAGGGGAACAAAACTGCAGATGAGAAGACCTTGGTCGAAGATCCAACCTTGCTGGCTCTCACTGCAGCGCCCCCGCCTTCCAGCTCCAAGCGCCCCGCGGGCAACTCTGACGAGGGTTGGTGTCACCAGGCTATTTTGGCACCTATGTTTTGTGACTTTGCTTCCCCCACAGGCAAACTTTTGCATCCTTCACTTTCGATATTGGGATTCAGCACGAGGTCCGTCAGAACCAGGGAGCAGTTCCAAAGCCACTGCTTCTGCAGCGCAGAGTTCACAGGTCCAAGGTGAGGAGGCAGCCTCAGCGTCGTCTACACGCCAGAGAAGGACAAGCAGAAGACTCGGACACGGTTGCCACGGGAAACCCGCTGCAGACGCCAGCCAAGGATTCCAGAAAGGCCACGAAACGGAAACCGCAGGCTGAGTCAGACACACCGGAGGACAAGAAGAAGAAGAAGGTTCCACCCCCAGGTTGCGGCGGAGCTCACCCAAAGGCCCAGGGCTGCAAAATCTGCGCTCGACCCCGTGATGCTTTCCAGCGTGGAACCGCGTGCGCCACATGCCAGACACTGATGAGAAAGAAGAAGTGTAGAAGCATCCCCACGGTTCTGGCAGACCCAGCGAAGCGTGATGAGATTCGTGCTGAGTCCTTGGCACTGAAGCCGGTTGCTTTGGATGATGTGCAGGAGCAAAGGGAGCGGGTGGCTAAGATTGAGAAGCACCTTGCGGAGCTTAAGCAATTGCTTGGCAAGGGAAGCTGATGGGGTCTTGAAAGCAAAAAGCTTTCGACGGGGCGAACTGCCAAGCAACACGGCTGGCGGGAAGCGGCTGTGAGCGGCAGGCAAGAGCAGAAAATGAGCGACAATGATTTGTGAGCGAGCACCCTGTGTGTTTCATGGCTGGCGCATGACACACAGAGGCACACGCACGCTCGCAGACGCACAGGCACCGGCGCGCAGACACCACGCATGCGCGCGCACGCGCGCGCACGCAGGTACGCATGCGCGCGGGCACGCGCACACGCACAAACGCACGCGCGGACACGCACGACGCACGCGTGCACACGGGCACGCACGCGTGCGCATATGCTTCATGGCTGCTTTGGGTCTGTCCTTTTTGGGGGGTACTCTTTGTTGGTTGTTTTTTTTGAAAGGGAAGCCAAAAAAAAACAAGGCATTTAGGGGGACCTCTAAAAAAAGAACCCACTCATGTGTGGGTGCAAGTGCGTTTGTTTAGTCAGTGTAGTCCACTAGTTGCAAAGAACCCTGTTTTTGACCAAGGAAGGCGTGGCAACTTGTCCGAAGACTTTGGCTGACAGTCTCACGAGACCGCATGCTGCACACGCAACACAAGGCTTTATTGGGAGCTTTTGGGCATGGCAGGTGCTGTTCAAAACCTTTCCCAGTGCCAACAAAGGTCTTGGAAACTGCAGATTTAGGAAAACTAACAGGGCTCGGGCGCGTAAGCTCGCGTAAGCAGGCGCGTAAGGTTCGCGTAAGCTCGCTTAGCTCGGCTGCCCGCTAGCCCATGGATCTCGATGCCGCCGTCGCAGAAGCCGTTTCTTGACCTGCAGTGGAGGCAAAGGCAGCGTGTCGTGCAGACGATCTACGATCTCTTTGAAGCACATTGCCCGTCTCTGCCTCACGCAACCGCGTTGTTGGAGCAGCTCTTCTCCAAATGCCAGCCCTTTTTGCCTGAGTTGTCCCTCGAAAACATGACTTGCGCGCAGCTTGTCAGCAGACTCGGCCAGCTTCGACAATCTGTGCCAGACCAGTTTCGTTTCTGGGGCATTGACGAGCCAGCTGTCAGCATTGCGCAGTTGGACCACGCCACTTGCTCTTTGCCAGCTACCCGGCAACAATTGCAGGAATGGGGGTACGCTGTTGGAGATCTTTCCTATCGCAATGCCCGCCGTCACGGAGACCTTGCGCCAGAAGCAAAGAGCAGCTGCCGAAGCAAAGGTGGAAGGCCTCCGAAGGTTTCCGACGAGACCATGCGCCGACTAGTTCATGAAGCCGTGGCCCCGTACTTGAAGGAGAGCGAGAAAGTCGTTGTCGTCGGTCGTGGCCCCCAGCGCGAGCTACTTTTGGCGCAGCACTTGTCCAAGCACCGCCTTCGCATCTATGATTTAGAGCCAAGCCTGCGTGAGAATATGGGAAAGGATACGTTCCTCAGGATTCTTAAGGTCCACTTCCCGCACATCAAAAGCCCGCGCCGGCTCACAGACGTGTGTGCCTTTCAACGCACTATCCAGCTTGTCTTTTTGCCTTGCCTGTTTTGTTTCAGTGTAGGTTGAAATCAATACGTTGTAGCTTAGTCTGCTTTCAGCCCAACGCCTCGGCGAGGTGAACATTGTCGCCACCTGGAGCGAGACTTGCTTCCAGCCGCTTTCCGGTGCGTGGAGAGAGCCAAGTCGGAGCTCAAGGCCTTATGGGGGAACTATCTGGACAGGTTCGAAGCCTCTGATGAGACCACTGCTGCTGTGAGAGCGAAAGACCAGTATGCTGTGTTTCGCCTCTTCGCCGCCTTTGTCGAGCACGAAAACTTCCATGTCCAGCGCAACCCTGCAAGACTGGCTTTGTCCTCTCGAACCCGCTTGTCGCTGCACCAGACCGAGGCACACGCCCTTCACCAACTCAAGGCCCATATCGAGTTACTGGATGCGTACCGATGGCATCAAATTTCAGCGAGGCGGCAAGAGGACGTGCTGTCCAAGTTGCGAGACGGTGGCTTGCAGCCTGATGCTTTACTGGTGCAGGTAGACTTCAAAGAAAACCTGCGCTACCCGCTCAGCTCCTTGGCGTCTTTAGGTTTATTGTGCGCTTCTGTCAAACGAATGTTCTTATGTGGCATGTTGAGAGCACAGGAAACAAACAGCAACAGTTTCCTCACTTACTACTAGTTGCTGGCGATGCGAGTAAGGCCGCGAAGAAACGTCGGAAGAATGGCATGCCCAGAACAAACTTTCCCTGACCATATTTGGTGCTTCTGTCCTCGCACCTTGCAAGACTGGCGGCCATCAAGAGCTCTACATCCTTTTGGCGTCGGAGGTTTTGGACCATGATGCGCAGGCAGCAAACATGATGATCAATCAAGTCCTGCAGCTTGTTCGAACACATGACCTTGTCGACTGGCCCAAGGTGCGCGCACTGTGGCTTGTTTCAGACTGCGGGCCACATTTTCGCTCATACGAGAACGCCGCCCATTTCCTGCACACCCTGCCCCTAGCGCTGCAGATCCAAACGCACATCCTCTTCCTGGGAGAACAACACGGAAAAGGTGCTTGTGACCGTCTATTCGGCTGGACCAACTCATGGCTGATGGAGTTTCTCCAGCAGAAGCCAATACATGGTCTACGCGATGCTGTCCAAGCTCTGCGGTCAGGAGGCGCAGGGCGCATGCGAAAGAACCCCAGAGGCGCAGCGTACCTCACCGAGGTCTTTGAACCCGGCGAGGCACGCCCAAGCAAGCGAAAGTCCCTGGCCTGCGCACATCTGAAGATTACACGGACATACAGCTTGACATCGACGCCCAACCGCCATTCTTCTGCTGGAGTCACTATCAGGAACAATGTCTTCAGCGATTTGACAGCGAAGGAGTCCTTGGGCCAGTGGTCAATTACTGAGAGCCTTGCGGAGGAGAAGGAGCTTTGGAGACGAGGCTACTATGACAAACCTCGATCTTGGGAACAAGCGGGCCCGCAAGCAGGGGATGAGAACCAACTCACTCGAAAATTTGCTTCGCAGAAATTTTTCGCTTCTACTTCAATGCCGCGGCCAAAACGATCTCTGGAAGACAAGCTGTCGGCCAAAGCCAAAGCCCTGAGCAGGCAGGCCACAAAACGGCGGCGACGCCGAGAAGAGCAACAACGCCAAGCCGCTGAAGCTCCTGAGGATAGTTCTTCGTCGTCGTCTTCTTCAGAGTCATCTACGTCATCTTGAACCGTTCTGGCGCCTGCATAGAAAAAGTAGCCCGCGTAAGCAATTCTCAAGGGGGAAAACTCAAAACGCAGACGCGTAAGTGATGCGTAAGCTTAACATGCTTGCTGGCTGCCGCGTAAGCTAAACCCTGGGTCGCGTAAGTAAAGCGCAAGCTCGCGCGTAAGCAACTTGATACGACATAGGGATTCATGGGAGGTTTATAGAGTCGCTCAGTTGCCCCGTCGCGTACTACACTTGTACTACAAAGTTGCGATTTTCAAGCTGGGGCTGCAGACGTGTACTTCGCGTGCTACACTTGTACTACAAAGCTGCGATTTTCAAGCTGGGGCTGCGGACGTGTGCTTCGAGTGCTACACTTGTACTACAAAGCTAGGAGCATGTCCTTGACGTAGAGGAGCCGGCGGGAAGTGACCGTCCCGTGTGTCGAGCAAGCACTACCATATCTTCCGCAGTAGCCCATGGGGAAAAGGCATGAAAGGAAGGAGGTTGGCAAGCCTCATGTACTACTTTGGTGCTGAAAAGCTGAGACCTTCCAGCCGAGATGCGAGAAATGAGCTGGCACTGTGTGCAGCGACAGGGGGCCTTGAAGAGCGACACCCCAGCCAGCCATGACAGCCAACCACAACACATGTTTTGACCGCCGCACATATGAGGGTTCCTTGAATGAGAAGAGGTGTCACGGCACCCCACGTCTCCAAACCTCATGCCCAGGTAGAATCCCCAACCGCAGCACCCTTTTTGGCCTGAAAAACGCATGAGAGAAGCTCCGAACCACTCCAGAGATCTGCGAGAACCCAGAGCTTCGACACACAAGTGGCCAAACGAAATAACTGTCTTCTTGGTTCTGCATGTTATGCGGGGAGGGGCGGGAATGTATCAGAACGGCAGTGCAGGCATGAACCAGCCGGCTAGCCAGTGATCAAAGTCAGCTGGCGATGTTTCACTGAGCCTACCACCCATTACCCCAGGAAGCTATATTGTTCCATTTGTTGTGTGTTTTTTGGGGTGGCTTACATGCACATTAGAACATGTTGTGTTTTTTGTGGGGTGGGGTCGACCCAAGGACACCACCTGACGTTGGGCCATCTTTTTCTGGGGAGGGGGGGGTACCCAAGGAAACCCACCTGAATATGTCGTTGTTTTCTTTGGTTTTTGGGGGCGGGTGACGTCGTGTCCTGTGGCTGGCGTAGGAGGTGGCGAAGCTGAAGGAGGACCGCCTGGCGGAGGAGGAGTCTCTGAAGGCCGCGGAGGCGCAGCGCTCCAAGGAGCACGCCAACTTCGTGGAGGAGGCGGGGCCCCATCGGCCCACGGAACGGACCGGGCGAAGGGGACTTCAGCCCTCATGGCCAGTTCAACTCACTTCCTGAGTTCATTTTGGGAAGACCAGTTTAGGGAAGAACCGTTTTAGGGAACTTGACACTTTTTTGGGGTTGGGACCATTTGAGTGTTAAATATAAAGTTTGGGCCCTTCTTTGGGCCATCCACTTAGCCAGTGAGGAGTTCTGCTCACCAAAAAGGGCCCAAGAGTTGGCATTTGTCCCAGTTCAACGTAGCAACCACTGTGTAGAATTGGAAGGGGGTTCAAAGGGAAGCCAAAAGCCATCCATACATTTCACCCCCAGGTCCCCGATTTGTCCATTAAAATGGAGGCTTCTCGAAAACAGGGTTGAACCCCTTTTCCCGATTTGAGAAACACACAAATCGGGGGACCCCTCAAAACTGCCAAGGGTGGGTTTCCCTGTCTCGAGAAAAGACACATCCAGGTTGAGAGACCTTTCTCTTTCAATTTGTTGGAAGGGGTTGCCCTTTCACATCAAGTAAATACACGTGTCCCGTTGTTTCAATTGTCTTTTGGGGGTTTCAGATACGATCCTTTTCAGCTTGGTTTAAAGGGACACCAAAAGGCACGGCTAGGATCCCAGGTGGATTTGCCTGGTTCGGATCCCCTGTTGGATGGCTTCTCTAGAAATGGAATCAAGCACACAAGAGAAATGGTTTGCTTTGAGGGTACTTTTCCAAGCAAGCCGAAAGGGAAGCATACGTGAAGATCGGAGCAGGGCTGAACATCATTTCTTGGTGAATGTCTCTCGCAGGACATGGATTCTACTCTTTTCAAGGGCAGCATCCTTGAACTACCCCATGCCGAAAAATACCCCAAAGTGTTGTTTGGCAACATCCCATTTTGAAGGTTGAGGGTATGTACCCTTTACCCTTTCCAGGTTTGTTTAAAGGGAAGCCCAAAGAGCAAGCACATCCCCTCTTAGATGTTGGGGAGGCGTTAAACACCCCTGCTTGTTTGGTGGATTATTTACCTAACATGAGGTTGTTTTGTTGAGTGTTGCCGGTTTAAAGGGAAACCCTTCGGTGGGCTCCCTGCCCTTATGAAAAGGACTTTTGGGTTTGAATCAAGCACCGCGCCAGATTCCATATGTGCATGTTTTGTCGAGGGTTTGAATCAAGCCCCGAGAAGGATTCCATGTTTTGTTGAGGCTGCCCTGCTCAGGTTGGTGTGAAGAAGACCAACCGAATACCGTACCTGTATGAGGCCCCCCAATGATGATACACGTCCATTGTTCTTCCAGCATCACCAGGCTAGGCGAAGTGTTGCATTGTTTCCTGTCTGCCGTGGAAGGTCTCATAGGTGTCCTTTTACAGGGCCAGTTTGGTTGATTAAACAAATGGATAACAACGAACCCGCACTCGAAAGGAGAGTATGAGCTGCTGGGTTACATGCCCCTAACAAAAGAAACTGCAAGCCACAACTACATACGCCCTTGACCCCATTTTTAGATTCGTACCCCTACCTAACTACTTGCTCTCTGTGGCATGCGCTCTTGCTTTCCTTTCTACCTGTCTGCCTGCTTGAATGTTCTGCTTGGATTTGCCCCTGCTCGCTGGCTTGGGCGAGTAGTTTTGCGGATCTGAATTCCTTACTGCGCATTAGTCATCCTTACTTGGTTGTTTGAACTTTAGCCCGTGAAAGCAGTAAGGCAACCCTGATACGCCAAATCTATCCGTGGTTGTATCTCACTGACCCTAAGCGTCCAAGTGCCTTCTTGGGAAGTAGGTCAACCAACACCCCAAACAAGAAGGATAATCTGGGTGCTAAATAGCCCATTATATAAGTTTGCAGTTTTTTTGCAAGGAGAGCAAAAGGGGGTGGGTATTTGTTTCTTCCGGACCCCCCACTTAGACTCCCCCTTTCGTCTGATCCGACTCGGCTCAGGTCACGGAGGAGAAGGCGGTGGTGCAATCCGTGGATCAGGCCAGCGCCGCGTTGAAAGGGAACTCCTTCTTGCAGACCAACTCCTCGCAGGCGCATGAGCGCCGTCCCGATGTCGGCAGCCGGCGCCCGGGTTTTTCGCGCGATTTGGGTTGGTCCCAAAGAAGGTTGCGGTGTGTCAACCCATCAAAGGATGCCTTGTTTGCTTTGAGCTACTGAAATGAAAGACATATTATATCCCAATCAAAGGACACAAACACACCTTTTTTTTGTCAGCGTCCGTTTGAAATGCCATTGTAAGGAGTCCCAAGCTAGCCCCACATCCCTGGATTGTTTTTTATCCGCTGGCTTCCAACTGGCAAGATCCCAGGTGTTGGGTGCATTGGCCGATGGTCGCAAAGTGGGCAAAGTTATACACCGGTGCATTTTGCCAAGGGCTGTTAGGACTGAACATCTTTTTGCCAAATGGGTTTTCCGAACTAAACCACTAACAGTTATTCACTTTTAGCAGGGGAGCAGAAAGCAACCGAGTACATCTGAGCAACAGGCTAAACTCTCCGTTACTTCTTTATGCATTCGGGCGATTTGGCGTGAGGAAATCTATCGAAACCTTGTAGAACGATATAGGGAACCCCCAAAAACGATAAAACATGCTTTCATGATGTGGCAGACGATGCTTGGAGCGTCTCGCGTTTGGCAGCTTTTTTTTGTGGCCCAGAATCCCAGCCATCATGTCTGCGCCTCCTGACAAAGCCTCCTGACGCGCCCAGCATATGTGAGATCGGGCTCTGCGGCCACGCAATGCTGTTTGTTCCGCGAACTTTGGCTGCCCAAAACAATAACCGACACGATGACGAAACGATAAGCAGTTCATTCGGAAAATCGTCTTCGTGAGCAGTTGCCCATAACGGTAGACTCGTGCGCACAGTTTCGATGTCTCCGTGCTGCGTGCATTCGTAGGGCGCCATGACTGATGAGGAGGCTCTCAAGCGTTTGGGAAAGGAGGTTTTCAAGGACTCCGATCTGCCTGGAAGCAGTGCCATCTGGAAACTCACGCTTTCCCGTACGATCTCCAACTGCCTCTTCAGAAGCTGCTCGAAATCAACTGCTTTGCTTTAGAGAAACAGTTCTGCTTTGCGTTTGTACGTTTGCTTCGTTGTTTTTTGGTAAGCCTCGCGCAGGTAACAGCGCTATCAGACAGCGTGCTCCGTACCAGATCGTCGAGCGCAAGTTGGAAGCAGAGCAACTACAGTGGCAGCGCGGCTTTTGGCAAGATCCCACATGGAGAAAACCAACGGTTGCTCTAAATCAAACGAATGAAGATGAGGAAGCACCATGCCCAGCTGCGCATGTTTCGCGGCACCTTGAAAAGCACTAAATCCTGACTTTCAACCAAATGGTCACTCGCGACGAAGCCCGCTTGGTCAAGGCAAATGCCCGGAGTAAGCGGAAACACGCAGCTGCAATGCCTGCTGACCCAATGGAAGAGTCTGAAACAGAGCTGTGAAGCCAATGTGCCGTGACAATAAAACGCCAGTGCGCGCTCTCCATGTGCCAGAAACCTGCAAAACGATATAGGGAACCCCCAAAAACGATAAGACTGAGTCCTAAATCACTTCTGTGCATTTAGGTTTTGCCGCTCGCTCATCTGCTGACTGAGGTTACTGAGTTTATGATCCTGAGTTTCAACTGGGAACCACCTCAGTGATTGGCACGAATCCCTACAATGATGCCCACCAAAGGGTTCCTTAAACATCGCACCCATGACCCCACGGCCAAGTCGAAGCCTCCAGCTTGCCGCAGGTCTCTCGAGTCTTGCGGGCTGTGCAGAGCAATCTGCGCCTGGACACCTCGTCCAAGAATCGGCTCGCCGCCTTTCTGTCTGGAGAGCAAAGCGCGGATCCCGGATACGCCGCTCGGAAAAACGTCCACGGGGGAAGTGTCAGTGTGTTGGTGTCCAGAGACGTGGGGCCATCGCAGCCTGATCTAGAGCGCGTCCGCGTTCCTAGTTGCAAGTAAGGCTGCCAAGCGGGAAATCATCATTTTCCGGGAGAATTGCTAGCAACAAAGCGCGGGCTGCCATCCAATTTTCCCACACCCTGGGTGACATCCAGAGAACTGAGGCGGTGCTTGGAGGTGGGCCATCCACGAAAAAGGCCAGGGGTTTCCTATGCTCCGCTCGGGTTCAAGCTGAGGTGGCGGGTATGCTGGAGGGCCTCAAGGAGGACACGGAGGCGGAGATCCAGACGGAGACGAAGACGGAGGACCAAGCACTGGAGACCTTCCAAGGCGTCGAGACCTCCAAGCGCCGAGACCCAAAAATCGGACAGCAAAATCGCCTGCGCGGGCTTTCGCTTGGCTTGGGGAGGTTCCAGTTTTGGACTACCGCAGGGTAGACTGAAACCCAGGTGTTTTTTTTGCTTGGGATGAGTTGTTCAAAATTCGGTTTTTTGGGAAAGCAACCCTGAAGACTATGAAGGAAAGTAGCACAGAAGTATCAGCCATAGCTTTTGTTGGACCATTCGTTAGTTTGGGGGAGGCAGACGGACAGTCTTTACAGGGGGTTTGGTGAGTGCCAAACATGGATTAAGCGGTGGGTACCTGGAGTCTGCATGACCCTTGGAAAATGGGGTCATAACCCAAAATAGTGGGTCATGGACCCATTTTGAAAGGGTCATGGAGACTCCAGGTATCTTTGGCCAAATCTTGTGGGCCGCTTCAAAGTAGTATTCGCTGGCAGTCGCGTGCAGAAGCGGGGGCATGTGAATCGAGGATTAGTCGGGGGGCTGACACTTGTGGCTTCTTTTTGCAACCGCTTTGTCTAGGGCATTTCTGCTAGGACTTGGTGCTTCAAATTAAGCTCTAAGTGTGCATGGCCAGGTCGAGGTGGCTGGGGTGGGGGCTTAAACGGCACCGGAAATGTGGGAAGCAGTGGAAGATGACAGAAACATTGCTGGTGCGAAGCTAGCTGAGTTTCACCCAATGTAGAGGCTTCACCGTACGGTCTTCAGGGGGACACCGTAATGAGAGTGAGTTTCTGAATGTCGCCGTACTTCGCAGAAGAACTGTCAAGGCGAAGGCGAAGGCACACGACTGAGCACGTTTTTCCTGGAGCGCTATCGCGCAGTTACTTCCATTGGTCTCGGAACTGGGTAACGGTTAGGCTTTTTTTCGGGCCAATATCCATTTCGCAACAAATGGTGGTCGGGGTGGGGGATCCCGCTATTTTGTGTTTTTCTAGTTTTAGGGTTTCGTCCATCCCAGCTGGTGCAGAATTTTGTCCATCCACAGTGTGTGTTTTTTCCCTCCAGCCATATGGGTGTCCAAAGTTAAGGCCGGAGAAAACCAGCGGAGCGCTAATGGGAACCCGGGAATGAAGCCGCAGGTTGGGTTTGACAAGCGGGTGTCCCATTTAAGAGGGACTCCGGTTCACTTTTTGGGAAGGACAGAACCTTCTAACTGGGTCAGTGTTCCATCTTACATCGTTGCCCTTGACCAAAATTTTGGTGAACATGGTGAACAAAAATATGTCCTAGCTTGAGGGTCAAAAAGTAGATACATCCCCAAATGATAGTAGTAAAGATTAAATTTCCTTGAAGGTTGAAGGACCACTGAGTGATACCTGGAGTCTCCACGACCCTTTAAAAATGGATCCATGACCAACAATTATTTTGGCTAATGGCCAACCATTGTTTAAAGGGTCAGAAGGAGACTCCAGATAGTGGTTTCCGTTCAAATCACCTACTCTGTGGATGGACCAAACATCCCCCTGGACACCATGGGAATGGCCTCATTCCAGGGTGAATGACCACCGAGTGATTCGACTTCATTTTTCAGGAAGACGGAGATCTCTGCCTTGCTCAACACCTTCCAGCGCAAGATGAGCCTCATCGGCGAGCTCAAAGTGCAGGCGAGCTCTCTTTGGTTAACCCAGACCTGGGCCTCAGGTCCGGTTTGGTTAACCCCCCATATCAATCAACCAACCACCTTCTGACCCTTTAAAACTGGATCCATGACCCCATTAGTCTAGGTAATGACCCCATTTTTAAAGGGTTATGGAGGCTCCAGGCAGTTGGCTCTCTTGGGTTTGTTGGGGGTGGTTTTGGCCCCTCCAAGAGTGAACCCGCATTAAACCCCGAATCGGACACCCCCGAGCTTGATAAACTGGGGTTGTTTAGTATGCAGTCAACATTAGACGAAACAGATCCCGAACAACCGGGTCCAACTTGGTCTCACTTCCCGAGGTCCGTTTCGGACGCTCGTCACTTTTTGGTTTGCACCATTTGGGTGGCCATGGTTTGCGGTTTGTGGTTGTGGTTTACAAAAGTTCAGACCTTTTTTTGGACCATCCACTCGGGAAGTGAGTGGTACCGGATCTGTGGATCTTGGAAATTGTTCGTGTGTCAGGCTGGTCACCGGAACCACCAGGGTTTAGGGTCAGGCTGGTCGCCGGAATCCGGGAGTTGAAGCCCTCACTCGTTAAACTTGGGCCAACCTTCAGACCATAACCAGCTATCTGGTTGTTGCTCCAGTTTGTTCTTGTTATAATACCTTGCACTTTCATTGTTTTAGTATTTTATACTAAATTAACGTATGTCTTTATCAGGCTTTCGCTTATGGTGGTCCAGAACGGTCTCAGTATTTTCTACTGACTGTACTTATGTCTTTAAGCTTCTGCTCATGGTGGTTACTTGTTTGGTATTGGTATTCGCCTCATACGTTTGCAATCGAGCTTCCAATCGCGAGGGTTTCCATTTTGAGTTCGTGTGTACATAGCCATCACCTTTTGCAGAGCTTCCTTGAATTCTTTCCTTGCCAGGGTATGGCACACGCAAAACCGAAATAATTGGAGGGTAGCAAGGGACACTCCGGGCCAGAAAAGAGTGCAACCGCCTTTTCAATTCCGTACATGGTTTTGGGTCGACCATTTCAATCCCGGGTTTTGATTGTGACTCACCTGAACATGCTCCAGTACCTTTCGCCCAACAAGTCCACGTTTCTAGATGAAGATGGTGAAGGCCCGCTAGCCGATTTTTGTTGAACCCTGCCCCCCACCACCTAACAGTGGATGACCATTGGAGTATGTTTCCTTTGTTTTTCGGGGACCCCGAAATGGCGGCTTTCCTGTTTTGGCTTTCCTTCCAAGCCGCAGCACAAATTGGCCTCGCAGCAAGAAGACAAATCCGTTTGGATTTACCAGCACTAGAAGGGTCTTCCAAATCGGTGTTTGGGACTCCGAAAGCCTCGGACTCCAGGCCGCTGATTCACATGAACCAAGGCACTGGGGCCGCAAGGGTAAATGACACTCGCAGACTCGCAGATTCATTGGAGAACTCTGATTTGTGCCAGGTTTATGCATGGTTGTTCTTGGGAAACATCTTACATGTTTGCTTATCGTGGCTTAGTGGTTGAAATCTAGCCACTTCACTGCATGTTGATTTTCAGATTTTTGCTGCCCTTCCAATCCAACGTCGACCAAGGATGGGCTGTAGAATCGCTATGTGTCTCAACTGTTCCTTTGGCCTGAGCAGCCCAACAGCCCACAGCAGCCCAGCAGCCCAGCAGCCCAACAACCCAACAGCCCAACAGCCCAGCAGCCCAACAACCCAACAGCCCAACAGCCCAACAGCCCACAGCAGCCCAACAGCCCACAGCAGCCCAACACCATCTTTTGCAGAAGGCGTATGGGTTGGGAATCTTTGAAGGTCGTCAACATGGAGCGCGAGATGGATGAGCAAGGCGATTCTATTGAGGACCTTGGTTAGCTCCTGCAACCTAACCAAAACAGGAGCAAAAAGACAATTGGGAGGAGATGAGTGGGGTCCTTTTGAGCTGGCAGGGCACTCGCTTGCCCTTTTGAATCTGGCATCAAGGTTTCATTGGGCCCTTTGTGAAAGCACTCACACAAGCACGAGACATAGTCAAGTTGCAGACTAAAACAATCCCGATTCCGATTGCCAATTCTCGCAGAAGCGCAGTGATACTTGCTGCCCCAGATTTAGATGTTGGCTCCTGAATCAAGCCTTAGTTCTCTTGACGTGGTCCATGGATATTCTAAACATGGGGTGTGGCGACATCACAGAGTCAAACACCAAGTCTTTGACCGCCTGAAACCATCGGCTTCTTGTGATTGTATGTTCTTGCACGGCACGCTGTATCGGAAAGTGCTTCATGTTGTCACATGGGTTGCTCGGCTTGATGTCCACATTCTAGCCATGGCATATGTTAGTGCTATCCAATTTTCTGCTCGTTGTATTTCTTGACTTGGACAGGAATCCTCAAGCAGAATGGAATCAACCCCTGGGAAGTTAGAATGGGAGATGGCAAAACCGATCAAATACTCGTCGCAGGACGACAAGACGATGCTAGGAGGTTGTGTAAATGTGAAGACCCATTGGGTTCAAACACGACTGCAAGAACGTGCTGAAATTAGGGCGCTTCAACAGTAGAAGTTGTTGAAGCAACAACTTGTTTGTTTGTGTTTGTTTGTTTGTTTGCTTGCTTGCTCGCTTGCTTGCTTGCTTGCTTGTTCTGTTTGCTTAGAAGGGGTTGAACGATCGTTCAATCTACACATCTGTGTGAATCCTGAGGGTCCAAGTACTGTTTGCGGAGGTACTTCGACCATTATCCAAAACCATCCCCAAAGCTTACCAAGGGACCTTTCGGGGAACACATGACAATTGCCAGGGATCGATCGGTTCATTCGGTTGATTTTGATTAACCAAAAAACATTGTTTTTGTTCACCATCGCTTGAATCAAACAACATAGACAACATAAGCCGTGTACCTACACATGAACACATGAAACCCTTCGGGATCCAAATGTTGATTTTAGTTGTCTTCGTTCCTGATCCCAATAGATAGTCAAGCAGCCACACGTCGTGACCATCGGTTTGGTCGGGCCGTATAGGACGACATTCGAATTGGTCTGGGTGAACCTCCATTGGTTTCAAGGGGTCGAAGAAGCACCTAAACAACCCAGTCCTTCCGGCGAGGATTCGATGGCGAGGATTCGTTTTTTTCAGCGCTGATTCGAGTTGACGAGGATTCGTGTAAAAAACACTTGACGAGGATTCGGGTTGACGTGGATCCGTGTCAACCGACGTGGGTCAGCTGCGCATGCTCGTAGTATATTCGCTGAGTTTTGTTGCATGGCATGACTTTCCATTTCCATATCGCAGATGCCTCGGGCACATCTTCGCATGATATTCGCTTTATATACTGTTGCAGAATCCGCTGGAAACAGAGTTTGTTCAGACGATTAGTTGCGTGACATGTTTTGTCATTAGCACAAAGCGTAGGATGCCTTGGGCTCCTCCTACAGTCTCTATAGCCCGTAAGCAAAAATCAGGAAGCCGCTTGCTCCTAAATGTGCTTGATTGTACGCGAAAAGAAGGTAGTCGCTAGCTCCTGAAAGCTTGCACTTGCGCGCTTTGTGCCCACTTAATCAGTTTCAGACATTTGCATGTTTCACCCCGCTCAAAAAACAAATGGCATTCCTGTTTCCACTCCCAGGCCGCAGCGGTGACGCGCGAAGGAGATGAAAAGAACACTTGCTGCAAGGCGCAAGGCAAGGGCTGTCAGCTCCAAAAGGAGCGCAGGGCTCCTCCTTGTTCCAAAAAGGGGGAGAGAGAGAGAGAGAGAGATGACGAGAAAGAAAAAGAAGAGAAAAAGAAGAGAAAGGGAAATATGAAGAGGAAGAGAAAGATAAAAACAACAAGAGAGCGGGAAAGAGAAAGAAGTGAAAAATGCGCAAGAGAAAGAGACAGAGAAAGATGAAGAAAGAAAGATAGAAAGAGAGAGAGAAAGACAAAAAGACAGAAAGAAAGAAAACATAATAAAAAAGAAAGAAAGAAAGACAGAAAGAAAGAAAGAAAGAACGAAATAACGAAAGAAATAAATAAAGAAAGAAATACCTAAACACATAAATAACGAAACAAAGAAGGAACATAAACAACGAAAGGAAGACATAAAGAAAGAAATAACTCAAGAAATAAAAAACACAATGATATAAAGAGATAAACCAATACAGAAAACAATGAAATAAATGAAGAAATAAATGACGAAATAAATCAACAAAAAGAAAGACATGCATAAATAACTATAAATAAAGAAAGACAAACATAAATACCTAAAGAAAGAAAACATAAATAAATAAATCAAGACATGAATTTAGAAAGCAAGGAATAACAAGACAAAGAGAAAGAGAGAAGGAGAGAAGGAGAGAAAGAGGCAAAGAGAGAAAGATAAAGAGATAAAGATTGCAAGAGAGCAAGAGAGAAAGAGAAAGAACATGACAAATAAAAAGACAATGAGAAAGAGAGAAACAAAGACAAAGACAAAGTGAGATAAAGAGAGAAAGAGAGAGAGAGAGAGAGAGAGAGAGAGAGAGAGAGAAACAGAGAAGGGGAAAACAAGCCTGCTGCAAACTATCGTTCTTCTAGTTTTGAAACGTCTGCCAACCGGCTTCGCCGGCTTCACGGGTGTACAAACTGTTCCCTTTCTTTTACTTTTGTCTTTGGTTGATGTTTGGTACTTGGACCAAGCCCTGGGACCCTCCCATTTCCCCAGCATTGCCCTGAGATTGCTTGCGGTGTCTCTCCTGTTTTTGTTCCTTCGCTTGATGTTGATTTTCTTTGTGCCTTTGCAGGCGTCACCTGGCCAACATGTCGCAGTTATGTTCAAAACACTTTTCATCACCTTTGCTTTCCCTTTTCTCATGGGAACTTTGTTATCTTCATTGCGTTTGCCTTCTTTGGGTTTGGTGGCGTGGAAATTTATGAAAACATGATGAACCAGAAAAAAATGGGTTGCTGGCTTTCAATTGGTCCATTGGCCAGGGTGGATGGTGCTGGAATTATGCCAGATAGTATGAACATATTTTTTGCAGGCGTCCCACTTAAAACATGATATGGGTCAACTTGTTTTTGCAAATTTTGATCAACGATGCGTTGGATCAAAATTGATCACAAATGAATTGCTGGGAAGCACGTGGAATTGAGAGCGAACCCCAAACATGGAACGCTAACTAGTTTTCCCTGTGTGGTTGCGAGTTCTAGGGCAAATCATGTTGGGCCATCTTAATTGAAATCAAAACCCCTCGAAAAGAGGGTGTCAACCCCTCGAAAAGAGGGTGTCAACCCCTCGAAAAGAGGGTGTCACCCACGAGTAACCGCGACTCCTTGGGAAGAGGGTGTCACTCTTGGCCCAAAACCCCTTGAGAAAAGGGTGCCATCCATGATAATTATTTTGTCGAAATACTTTAACACATAAAAACATGTAGTCACCAATTTGTCTGACACAAGTTTGGGCTGCAAAATGTTGAGACCACAGAAAGTTGTAGTCCAAATATGTTCCTTAATTGTATTGCATTTGTCAAAAGATGTTCAACTATCCCAAATTGTAATTACCAACTTATTTGTCAAGCATTTGGCCTGCAAATGCTTGACGCCGCCGCACATGTGTAGTCCAAATATGTTCCTTAAATAACAAGTTGCTGTCAATTCTTTGGCCCGCAAATGTTTGAGGCCACAAGAGGCTATAACCCCGGATTGTCCCTTTCTCTATTTTTGAATTTGTTGGCCCACAAAAATGTGTAGTTACCAATCCCTTTTGTCATACATTTGGCCTGCAACATGTTGAGGTCACAGCGCATTGTGGTCCGGAGATGTTCCTTACCCGTACTTTGGACATATGTTGGCCCATAGACATGTAGTCACATGTTTTGTCAAGTTTTTGGCCTGCTAACTTTTGAGGCCACAGGAAGTTGCAGTCCAACAAATGCTCAATGTCAAGCATTTGGCCTGCAAATGTTCGAGGCCGCCGTAAATTTGTAGTCCAAATATCGTCCTTAATTCAACAATTGCAGTCACCAATTTGTTTGTCAAAGCTTTGGCCTGCATATGTTTGAGGCCGCAAGAGACTGTAACTCCGTTTTGTTTTTGGAATTTGCTGGCACATAAAATTGTGTAGTTTCCAATTTCTTGTGTCATACATTTGGCCTGCAACATGTTGAGGTCACAGCGCATTGTAGTCCGGAGATGTTCCTTAACTATACTTTCAACATATGTAGGCACATAAACATGCAGTTACATGTTCTGTCACATATTTGGCCTGCAAACCCTTTGAGGCCACAGGAAGTTGTAGTCCAACTATGTTCCCAATTGAACGGTCAAATCCTTGGCTTTGAAATGTTTGAGGCCACAAGAAACTGTAACCCAGGAATGTCCCTTTCTTTTCTTAAATTTGTTGGCCCATGAAATTGTGTAGTCACCAATGTCCTTTGTCATACATTTGGTCTGCAAAATGTTGAGGCCACAGGAAACTGTAGTCCAGAGATGTTCCTTAACTATACCTTCAACATATGCTGGCCCATACACATGTAGTCACATGGTTTGTCATATAGTTGGCCTGCAAACGCATCCCAGAAATTCCCTTCTGTCAAATATGTGGCCTTCAACAGGTTGAGCCCACAGGAAATTGTAATCCAGGGATGTCCCTAAATTATATTTCCCATACATGTTAAATTGATGTTAAATTTTAACATCAATTTAACAACATTTAACATCAATTGTCATTTACTTTTAAAGGTAATTGGATGTTAAATGATGTTAAATGGATGTTAAAATTTAACAACTATTTAACAATCATATTCCCGGGTGATGCCCCTAACCGTTTTACTTTTTTGTGTGGGTGGCCCCATAATGTTGCAGGACACATAGTTGAACAAAAACACAATGGTGGCTACATGTGTGTTAATTGAGAATTGTGGACTACAACTTCCTGTGGCCTCAAAAGTTTGCAGGCCAAATATGTGACAGAACATGTAACTGCATGTTTATAGGCCTACATATTTCGAAAGTACGGTTAAGGAACATCTCCGGACCACAATGTCCAGTGACCTCAACATGTTGCAGGCCAAATGTATGACAAAAGGGATTGGTAACTACACATGTTTGCGGGCCAACAAATTAGAGAAAGGGACAATCCGGGGTTATAGCCTCTTGTGGCCTCAAACATTTGCGAGCCAAAGATTTGACAGACAAATTGGTGACTGCAACTTGCTATTTAAGGAACATATTTGGACTACACATTTACGGCAGCCTCAAACATTTGCAGGCCAAATGCTTGACATTGAGCATTTGTTGGACTGCAACTTCCTGTGGCCTCAAAAGTTAGCAGGCCAACAACTTGACAAAACATGTGACTACATGTTTATGGGCCATCATATGTTGAAAGTATAGTTAAGCAGCATTTCCGGACTACAATGCGCTGTGACCTCAACATGTTGCAGGCCAAATGTATGACAAAAGGGATTGGTGACTACACATTTTTGTGGGCCAACAAATTCAAAAATAGAGAAAGGGACAATCCGGGGTTATAGCCTCTTGTGGCCTCAAACATTTGCGGGCCAAAGAATTGACAGCAACTTGTTATTTAAGGAACATATTTGGACTACACATGTGCGGCGGCCTCAAGCATTTGCAGGCCAAATGCTTGACAAATAAGTTGGTAATTACAATTTGGGATAGTTGAACATCTTTTGACAAATGCAATACAATTAAGGAACATATTTGGACTACAACTTTCTGTGGTCTCAACATTTTGCAGCCCAATCTTTTGTCAGACAAATTGGTGACTACATGTCTTTATGTGTTAAAGTATTTCGACGAAATAATTATCATGGATGGCACCCTTTTCTCAAGGGGTTTTGGGCCAAGAGTGACACCCTCTTCCCAAGGAGTCGCGGTTACAGTTGCCGTAGGTGACACCCTCTTTTCGAGGGGTTGACACCCTCTTTTCGAGGGGTTTTGATTTCAATTAAGATGGCTCAACATGATTTTCCCTAGAACTCGCAACCACACAGGGAAAACTAGTTAGCGTTCCATTTTTGGGTTCGCTCTCAATTCCACGTGCTTCCCAGCAATTCATGTTTGATCAATTTTGATCCAACGCATCGTTGATCAAATTTTGCAAAAAACAATTTGACCCATATCATGTTTTAAGTGGGACGCCTGCAAAAAATATGTTCATACTATCTGGCATAATTCCATCACCATCCACCCTGGCCAAGGGACCAATTGAAAGCCAGCAGCCCTTTTTTTCTGGTTCATCATGTTTTCGTAAATTTCCACGCCACCAAACCCAAAGAAGGCAAACGCAATGAAGATAACAAAGTTCCCATGAGAAAAGGGAAAGCAAAGGTGATGAACAGTGTTTTGAACATAACTAGAACATGTTGGCCAGGTGACGCCTGCAAAGGCACAAAGAAAATCAACATCAAGCGAAGGAACAAAAACAGGAGAGACACCGCAAGCAATCTCAGGGCAATGCTGGGGAAATGGGAGGGTCCCAGGGCTTGGTCCAAGTACCAAACATCAACCAACGACAAAAGTAAAAGAAAGGGAACAGTTTGTACACCCGTGAAGCCGGCGAAGCCGGTTGGCAGACGTTTCAAAACTATAAGAACGATAGTTTGCAGCAGGCTTGTTTTCCCCTTCTCTGTCTCTCTCTCTCTCTCTCTCTCTATTTATCTTTATCTTTCTCTCGTTTTCTCTTTATCTTCGTCTTTGTATCTCTCTTTCTCTTTGTCTTGGTATTTCTCTCGTTCTCTGTGTCTTCCGTTCTTTCTTTATTGTATTTATTCATGTCTTTATTCAAACATTTCTTGTTTATTCATTCATTTCTTTACTCATTGATTGTGTCTTTCTTTCTTTATTGATTTATTTATTCCTTGCTATGTCTTTCTTTCTGTAAATGATTATATATTTATCTTTCCCTTTCTTTATTTTTCTTTCTTTCTTTATTTCTGTCTGTCTGTCTGTCTGTTTGTCTGTCTGTCGTTCGCCATTTGCTTTCGTTATGTCATTAGTTCTTTATTTGTTTCTTTCTTTACTTCTGTCTTTCTTTCTTTCTGTCTGTCTGTCTGTTTGTCTGTCTGTCGTTCTCCTTGTTCCTTCGTTATGTCATTAGTTCTTTATTTCTTTCATTTACTTCTTTCTGTCTGTCTTTCTGTCTTTCTTTCTTTCATTATTTCTTTCTTTCCTTCTTTCTTTATTTCCGTCTTTCTGTCTTTCTTTCTTTCTGTCTTTGTTGCTTTGCTTTCTTTCTTTATGTCTGTCTTTCTTTCTTTCCGTCTTTATGTCTTTCTTTCTGTCTTTCTTTCTTTTCTTGTATTTTCTTTCTTTCTCTCTTTCTCTCTTTGTCTCCTTCTCTTTTTCTCTTTTTTCTCTGTCTTTTGTTCTTTATCTTTCTTTTTCTCGCTACCTTTCTTTTTGTCTTGCTCGTGTTCTTTCTCTTCCTCTTCCGCTGTTCTTCTGTATTATTCTCTTCGTTCTCTTTCTCTTTCTCTTTCTCTCTCCTTTTAGGAACACAAGGAGGAGCTCTGCGCTCCTTTCCTTTTCATCTCCTTCGCACTTCACGGCTGCGGCCTAAGTGGACAGCAAACCGACGCAACAAGCCGTGATTCCGGCTGTCAGAAGTCAAAACTTTCTGCCGCGTCTAGCGCATAAACTTGTCCACCCTGTGGCACCTAATGTGAGAAAGGATTAGGAAAATATATGGAGGTAAGATGGATACTCTACTGACGTTAGGATGCACAACTTCTTGAGAGCCTGAAAGAGAAAGAGAAAGCGAGACCGCCTAAAATAGCCCAACCTCTTTTTCCTGGCGGGCTCGTGGCAAAAGCAAACAAAAAAGAAGAGGAGGCAGCTCCGTAAGTTCCACTTTTGCAGCAGGATTGACCGGGCGCAGGACTGCGCAGCTCGCTCGCGATAGACAAAGTGCGCCTGCATCACCGCAGCTCCTTTCATGGTCCATGTGCTCACAAACTCAGCCTTCTTTTCAAAACGAATCAGTTACAGGATGCTCACAGCCAATTGGTCAAGAGCACGCACGTGCTAATGTAAAATAATACTGATGTTGCTCATTCCAAAATTGTCAAATTTAACTCATCACGCATTCCCTTCGCAGGCCCAAGGAAGCTTAAGCTCCTGTTTTTTGTTTGCAGTTTGACCCGCCGAATCAGTGTCAACCCAACAAGGGCTCATCGAAGCCCTGTCACGTGACGAGGATTCGTCGAATCAGTGTCAACTTGGATCCTTGCCATCTTGGCGTGGATTCGACGAATCCGTGCTGAAACCGGCGCTTATTCGAAGGTTTCAGCGCTTGCTCGAGTGGATCAGCGCTGATCCGACACAAAAACCCTACTTTTCCTTGTCAAACCAGCGCTGATTCGCGAATCAGTGCTGAAACCAGCGCTTAAAGAAGGACTGGGAACTAGTCGGTTTTGTCGTCCACCCAACCCATTGATGTCCAGAACGATCTGTTGGATATTGGCTTTGCAGTTCTGCCCATTGAATTCCGCACCCCAGAAACATCTCTTGGCTATCGGATCTGGTTTTTGATTTTTGCCATCGACTCATCGAATGGCACTAGGGATCCTATGGGGCCATGGGGTTTTAGCCATCTTCTGCCATCTTTCGCCATCGACCCATCGACCCATCGACCAGTCATCGACCCTTTATCCAATGGTTTTCGCCGTGTCCCATGCGCCCCTCGGCCCTGGGGATCCAATCGCCCTTGCCTCCATTTGCTTAAGAAAAATGGTTAGTTCCCTTTTAGGTCTGAAAAGGAATTCATCGCTACTGGAAATATGTTCATTTTTTCCTGGGGCCTTAACCAAATCGAAGCTTGGCATCGACCCCCCATCCAGTGGGATTTTTGCCATCGACCCCTCCCTCTTGGGGATCCAATTCTAGGGGTACCTTCCCCATTTCCAGGCAGGGATCCTTCTAGAAAACCTCCGGAATCCCAGGGAAAACGGATCCGGTTTTTGAGAACGATGCTTGAAGAGAATGGGGAAACAACTAGACCAGTCGCCCTTGGGGCCGACGAGGACGACAAGAAGATGCTGGCGGAGCTGCAGAAGAGCTGCGGCGCCAAGGCCAAGGACTGGGAGCTGCGCAAGGCGGCGCGGGCTGAGGAGCTGGTGGCTCTGCAGGCGGGAGCAATCCATGCGGATGGGGGGCTGGCTCGGGGGGACTGGGGGGCTGGGGCTGAGGGAGGGGCTGGCGGGGGGGTGGGGGGGCTTGGGGGGCCTTCCAAACATGGTTAAGCAGGGGGGTGGCCCAACCGCCCGACCTACCATAAGCCGTTCGCGCTTGGACGGCGCAGATGAGCGATTGGTGTGTTCCCTTCAACGACTCAGGTCAGCTAGTTGTTTCATGCCGCTTTTGAGCTAAAAGAGTCGTACCCACCCGCGGGTACGTCGCACACAGATTGCGGCTGAGTTTTTCAGGGCACCTTTTTGTTCCTTGTGTTTGGGGGTCCCGACGCAAAATGGTAAACCTCTAAATCAGGGATCTCTTGGAACATTTAAAGGCTACCGTTCGGGTCACTGGGCAAGGAGGATGGTGATTTGCTCCCAGATGTTCAACCCACAGGTCAGTGGGTCACAACGATTGGTGATCAGCCAGCCCCATCACAGCAATAACCATGGCTACAAACTGACCCCCGAAATTAGCCACCCTGGTTTATGGTTTGGTGGGAACTCATCACTTTTGGGGGGAATACCCCCCTCATAGGACGGGCTTGTTGTTCCGGGGGATAACATGAGGTTGAACATCCGAGTACCCCCGAGGACACCATCAAAATGCTGAATTCGGACGAGTCCCTAGACCTCTTCCGCAACAAGAGCCCGGCATTGATCCAGCTGTCCAGCAACAGGGAGCAGGCGCTGGGAGTCACCACGTCCGGGTCAGCTGGCTGATTCTTGGTTCCACATGACACCGATGTTTTGGGAGCGTGGATGCCAAACCACCTACAGCTTTGCATGGTTGAATAACCTACTTTGCTTGCTGTATGTAGCAAGTGCTTACTTCCCACTACCATGATCGCAAGGGTCTGCCGCGAGGCAAAGCTATATACGTCATCTACACGTATGTGTTTGCATTACCCAGGCGACACAACAGCATGTTGCGGCGCACCCGGTTTTGTGTTGACGATAGGACGCTGAATGTCAATCCAAAGCATGCTTCTCATCAATCCCACATTCCATGTGCCAAACAAACTGCCATCCGCAACATGCGTCAGCGTCGCGTTGGCCCGATGGCCCTGTTGCTTATTATCATCGCCTCAGACTCAGTACCTCACATCCTCATGTCCTTAGAGACGCCGCTTTGCAGGAGGGCAAGACAAACTCTGAGCAACCAGAGAATGCCTCTCACCATGGCAAAAACAAGCGCAGGCTGTGTTTACGGACTGGGTTCTTGTTGACTCCGGAGAGCCCCAACACTGTTCTTGGCACCAAGCGCGCGACAAATTTGTAGTTGGAACTGTAGCGCTCCAAAAGGCATGTTTCATTTGTTTAGCGACATGGTGAGCGCTTGGGGGATTGTGCCGCCTGCAGAAATATCACGTGCAGTTGCAAAGCTGGCATTGATGGGCTTGGTCGCTTCCTTTAAGCTCAGTTGCCGGGAATCCAATCACATGGCACCTGCAACAAGATCGAGTCGGCTTGCCTTGGAGCGGATGAATCCCGCAGGCGGCCGCGACAGTTCATTTCTTTGTTCCCTTGGTGCCTTGTGAAGATGTACGTGAACCTCGTTTTACACCTGTTACATCCTCAGAAAGTGCCAGGGGACCTTTTTGGATCATATGGCCATGGTTCAAAACCAATGGGATACCATTTTGGGATAGGTGCACCACCCGTTTTAGTCTATGTTAGTGGGGATTGGGATGGGGGTACGGGGATTTGACCCATGACCAAAAGTTTGTTTCGTGCGTCCGCGAATTCCATGCCTCAGGCCTCGATTCGCGGCTCAGAGCTCGACCGCGCATCCGATCGCGTCAGGTTCGCCGGCAGGCCGTGAAGATTCTGTCCTCAAAGGACTCGCGCCGCAATCGAAGGAGACAGGATACCTGGAGTCTCCTTCTGACCCGAATCAAAAATGGTTGGTCATTACCCAAAGTATTTTGGGTCATGGACCCATTGTTAAAGGGTCATGGAGAGTCCAGGTAGTGGGAACTTCAGGATTCTTAATCCCCAGAATTGAAATTGGGGGGTCTCCCTGGGTGAAACATGCGGATTCCTCAGGTTGAGAAGGGAACACACCCCTGTCAATAGACACGGTTTATCGATCCGGGGTCAACAGAAAGTGGGCCCCGTGATTTTGGAGTCAGTTGGTATACCCCTTTTGAGGATGAGAGAACCACCAGGAAAAACCACCGTGAAATCCCCCTATTTTGACACACACGCAATTGCCACAGTGGGAGCCATTATCAACCTCTTGGTCAATAGGCTGTGCCTGGTAATTAGTCGTTCAGCCACTAAAGTCATGACTGTGACACACATAGTCACGAAGAAGGAAGCAATCTCGCAAGCACGAACAAAGACTTTAAAGGCTGATTTGGGGATCCGGCAACATTGTCCTTTGCTCTGTTGAGTCGGTTTCATGTAAACCGCTTGCCACAGTCAAGCTCAGCGGAACGTTCGAACGAAAGGAGGGAGTCGGACACACGAAGAGGACTTAGCAACTTTTGATAAGACAACTCCCTGGTTGAACGGGGGGTGTCATCTCAGGGATCCCAGAGGGTCCAAGTACCTTCTAAGGAGGTACTTAGACCCCTTTTTACTCCCAACGGTTGATTCCCCCTTCTTTTCAGCCATCGTCCTTTTCAAACACACCAGCCATCTATCCGTTTTTTTTTTTGGGCGGTTTTCCGGAAAGAAGGATCCCTGGATTAGACGAGCGAAGCTGCGCCTACAGGGTACCGCCAGAGGACTCCCGGCCCGAGCTGAACTTTTTGGCCCTGGCGCTGACCGGCCGCAAGGCCCAAGCCCGTCGCAACCGCCGAAGCGGAGGTTTAGCGTTGGCTCCCAAGGGGACGAGGCCCTCAGAGCGCTGGTGCCCCGTGGTTTTCATTTGTTTCTTGCCGGGGGGGACGGGGGGATGTGGGATGGGGGGATGGGGGGATGGGGGGATGGGGGGATGGGGGGATGGGGGGATGGGGGGATGGGGGGAGTGTGGCCTCCAAGTCAGGTTGTGTTATCCCAACACCCCAACATGAGCATCGGAGATGTGCCACAAAAAGCAGGTCTTAGTTGAATCAGTTGTCTATGTTGGGGAGCCTGGGCTTCATTGACCTTTTCGGTTTCCCTTTAAACGGGGCCAGACTTAGACCCCCTGCAAAAAGTTAAGTTTTTGGAAACCCCGGTGAATTGCTCCCTTACAGAGCATGGAGCCCCAACACCCTTCAGGTTTAGAGGAATATCCGTTTGGACGACCCCTTGGGGCCAAGTCGTCGGACTGGACAGAGAGAGATCATGCCGTTGGCAATGCTTGGTCGATTGGGGAGCGCTTTTCAAGCAACACAACACCTGGCACACGTCAGGGCTCCTTAAAAGATACATTGTGCCCAATTCAAACATGGCTTTTCCACCAAAATGAAGGGACACCAAGGCAATGTTCAGGTGTATAATGTAAGGATCCCTGCACGTGGAATGTGTTAGGTATTCGCCAACGCTTGCCACCCCCGATCCGAATTCATTGCCAGATATATCATTGTTCACTGATTTGATGCGTCCCGTGCGTGTTGTTTTGTTCCATTGCATTGTGGGGGGCTTCGAACCTGGAGTCTCCATGACCCTTAAAAAATGGGGTCATTACCCAAAATAATGGGGTCGCGGACCTATTTTTAGAGGGTCATGGAGACTCCAGGTAGTTGAACTAAGCCTACACTCATTTTACAGTGCCTCGCTTCCCCTCGGCAAACCCATCACAGCGACTTCGCGACGTCGCGTCCTTCGCCGGACTCCGCAGGCGGACTTCACCAAAGTCCTGGAGAAGATCGACGGCATGGTGACTTTGCTGAAGCAGGAGGCGGCGGAGGACGAGCAGAAGCAGCAGTACTGCGAGAAGGAGCTCTTTGGACGCCGAAAAGGGGGGGGACCATCTCGGAAGCAGCGAAGGTGTCTGTATGTCGCAGGCCTAGGTGCCTGGAGTCTCCTTCTGACCCGAATCAAAAATGGTTGGTCATAACCCAAAATAATGGTTGGTCATGGACCCATTTTTGAGTCGGGTCATGGAGACTCCAGGTAGGTGTCTGTATGTCGCAAGCCTATAGGTGTCTGTATTTGGGGTCGATTTGGTTGAAAGCCCATGGGTTCCACTTCAGCTTTGGTTCTAATTTCATTTTACCAGTGCCATCGACTGGTCCCGAAAGCAGAGGCCCGGAAGGTGTCCTTGGCTCAAAAAACGGATCCCCTCGCAATCAAATTGATGTCGGTTATCCCCTTGGTTTCGGGTGTCCCCAAAAGGGGAAAACCCTGTGGGTGGTTTTCCATAGTTTTTCTCTTGTTCGGATTGAAAACCGGCCCCGAAAGAGGGTTCTGCCGAAATTGTCAGTTTCCTCTTTGCTCTTAGCCCCTTAGCCCCCAATGGTAGTATGCGATAGGGGTGTAAAGGGTTCATCAGATGAACCCCCGCAAAGCCCTACTTCCGCAGCGTACTGATTTCAAAAAATCATCCGTCCCCCCCCCCGAGAAAAAAAAGGCATGGTTTTTCTCTGCCCCATCTTTCCAGCCCCCAACCCCCATCTTTCCCCAACAGGCCTCCGACCCAACGAAAGCTACCCGGCGTCGAGCAGCAGTGTCCGAGGTTCCGTACCGCGGAGGCCAAGGGCAAGACCTTGGCGCAGAAGGCGGAGACCTTGGCCGCCTCCGTGGCCGAGAAGAAGGAGCGCTCTGCGGTCTCGACGGATTCGGCCGAGAAAGCGGTGAAGTTGAGCGGAGTCGACCGGACGGAAAAACCGGACCGAACTTTGGTGCATTTTGCCAAGGGATGTTATCACTGTTCCTTTTTGCCAACTAATGTGGGTTTTCCGTCTTAAACCACCAAAAGTTAGTCACTTTTAGCAGTGGAGCAGAAAGCAACGGAGCGAACGTCGCGGTCTGGACCGAGAAAGCGGGGCTGGGAAAAAAGAAACGATCGGGGAGAGGAGTGTCTGACTGTTTTTTGAGGAGGCTCGATTTGTAGCCTTGTTGGAGAGAGATTTTAGGGAGACCAAAAGCCTTGGGGTCGGTTTGAAGGGAAACCAAAGGGAAGCCTTCATGTTGTTGTGCAATGCCTACCCCACCGAGAAAAAGCTCAACTCGCCTGAAGATTAACATAGCATCCATGACTGTCCAAACCCGCTTGGTCCAAGTCACTATAGCCCCATTAGTTTACCGCTATCAACCTAAGAGGTGGGCTAAAGGGAACCTATACTGACCCCAGTGTCAAAATGGCAGTTGGTCAAAGTGAAACAAGGGGGCCACAGATTTGAGTTCATATGTCCATTGACCAGGCTTGAATTTTGGGTGCCCATTCTTGACCCCAGTGTCAAAAAATCTTCCACGGGGATGTGGTCCGCAGAATTCCGGGGCGCCCTTCCGCCCATTGCGCTTCGAGGACGTTGTCGCGAAGCTGAGGGCGGATCTGGTGGCCCTGAAGGAGAGCGTCAAGTTTCGGTTCCCAGAGGGACCTAAGGAGACACTGAGGCCCTTTTGACCCCGAAGCCACTCGCCACTCAGTGACTCAGGTAAGGGACCCTCTAAAATTGGGTTGGGTTGGAATTGCTGGATCCCTAAAGGAACACCTTCTGAGAAGTCCCTGTCCCTGCTTGGGGAGAAGTCGTCCATTTGTGGAGGAAACTCCTTCCTTTTTGGGGTTGAATGAAAAATCTGGGAGTAGGTTCCCGAGTGCATCCAGTCGCCCTGGTAAGCAACCTGTGGAAATGATCATGTAGAGGTAAGAAACTCTGGTATCTGTAACAAGTTCAGGGAGCCTTACCCCTGGTCCTTGTGAATACATGGCAAACCCCAACCTGCGCACATCCACACGAAGATGGAAGCTGAGAGCCAAAGACCTGCCGGGCCATCTACGGCCTCCAAGGTGTCAGATCAGTGAGGCTGGGTAAACCCGAGGCTCCGATCCAATCAAAAAGATGACCAAAGCGGGTCACCATTTTGTTTGACTGTTTCTGGTTCTCAAAGTCAGAACATGGGGTTGTTTCCCTTTAACCCCGCTCAGAGGGTGATGTTGTTGATTCTGAAATAATGAGGGTTGACAGCGCAGGGAGACCTTGGCGCGCAAGGTGCAATATGCCGCATCCCCGGGGTTTCCAGTTTCTTCCATTTGCCAGGGTCGTTCAAGCCGAGCTGAGGTCAGAATCCACCTAAAACCACAGGATGCCCTCTAAAATGGGACGCGCGGGTGCTTTTGTTGGGTGAGTTCAGAGAAACGAAAAGGAAGCCCGTGCTTTTCGTTCTGGGCTACTCTCAGGTTGAATTGCTCAGACCTGAAAACCACGGGGTTGCCATGAAAAACCACGCATCGCTCAACAGTTGATCAGTCAAAAGCCTGATAGGTGACACCCCGGCCATGGATGGGACTGTTTCAGCGACAGCACTTGTTTGGCGTCCAAACAAGGGGCCCTTTTTGTTTGGTCCTTAGCCTTTTGTGTTTAGCGGTAGTTTTAGAATTTTAAAGGGGTCGCACAGGCAGTTTGTTCAAAACCAAACAAAGGGATCAAGGGGTCATGGCGCAATGGCAGCGCGCCCGTGTTCTCGGACCTCGGGAGGCTGCGGGTTTGAGTCCTGCTGGCCCTATTTGCGCACTGGCATTGTCAGTTCGTAGGTATCCTGAATTTGGTAGCTGCAGGCGAGGCACACGGAGCGCTTTCCTCAGTTCTCAAGTTTAACCCGCTGAAAGTTAGTCACTTTTAGCGGGGATCCGAAAACGGGCAGCTCAGAATACAAACAAAAAGGGTTGGGGAGAATTCCCCGATTCGCTTGGCGCGGACGCGCGAGGAGGGCGTCGTGGCTCTGGACGCCTCCGTGGCCAAAGCCTCGGAGAACCGAAGGGCGGAGCACGCGGAGTTCCAGGCTGCGAGTGGGGGCCTATCCGCTGGGTCGGGTCTCCCGGAGTTTCGGGCGGCTGATCCGTAAGAGGGCGTAGGTATTTTGTTTGATGGTTTTTGGTTTCGGCCGCTTTTTGTCCTTGGGTTTTGGGGACACGTCCGAAATCCTTCAAATTCAAATTTATTGAGGGGCGGTGTGAGGTGGTTCTTCTAAAAGGGGGGGATCAGCAAATCAACTTTTTGAAGGGGGTGAAAATGGGTGCCCTTTTTTTCCCAAGGCCACTGGGGGTCAGTGTGTATACCTGGACTAGGGATCCCTAACACCTAAACATCTCGACAGGACCGAAGGGATCTTTGCAGCTGGGTGTGCTCCTTTTATTTGCTTTGGTTGCCCGTTCAACATCCCAACTGGGTTTTTGACATCAGCAGAGCCCAACCAACACGTGGATCACAAGCGGCTGGGGGGGGCCGCCTTCAATTTGCAAGCTTGCCACAGAAACACACCCGCCCCAATTGAATCCAAACCGGTGAATTCCAGCGAAGGGTTCATCATTGTCTTAAGGCATCGCGCCTATCGCCAGAAACATCCAAATATATGGTTGTTGATGATCTGTTTGTTTTCTGGCCACAATCCAAGTTGTTGCTTTGCTTGCCCAGCAAGTAACATAGACACACAAAAGGGGGTTCCCTCAAAGCAGATGCCTCTATGACCGTCAAGTTCTGTTGTTTAGGGCTAGAATCTGTGATACCAGAGAACCCGCCCGTCAAATCCAAATCCACAACATCCACCCAATCCAACTGAGGAGTACCTGAGAAAGGGGCAACCAAATCCTACAACCATTTGCAAGGTTTCTCTAGGGAAGTGGACTTGTAGCAATAGGTTGTTTCCTTGCGGCTCCCCCAAACTCACGCCCCGAGTTCACTTTTTGGGCTTGGACCATTTCAGCGGGCAAAAACCCGAAGTTTAGCCCTTTCTGACCAATCCACTCGATCGAAAGTGAGAACAAAGGGTCCACCTGCACTCCAAAATACCATCAGAAATGGGTCAATGATCGCCCCAAGCATGGTGGTTGTTGGGAAACATGTTACATTTTTGCTTATTGTGGTTTAGTGGCAAATCGCCACTTAACTGCTAAAATGTTCAATTGTTTGCTCCCCTTCGAACATCAACCAAGCAAGCTTGTGGGGTGAATTCCCCCGTTCGTGGGTGGTTCGAGGGTCTAGACGCCATTTTTGGCAGAAAATCCAATTCGGCAGCTTCCCTTCGATAGGAGAGCATGTCCTCAAACTCCGCCGCCCTGGAGCTCTTGTCTTTGGCACGGAATCGGCTCAACAAGGTCTACAACCCCAGCAGCTCGCATTTTTAGCACCTGGAGGGTACCTCGAGGATTACTTTGGAGTGACCGGGCCCCTTTCGTCAGGGGCCAGGTTAGTGGGAGAACAGATGCTCAAAATTGCAAAGCACGTGTTTTGGGGTCCATTGAAGTTCAAACCAGGAAAGGGTTTAGGGGGTGGTGTCTCTTTGAGTCATCATGTAGAAGGTAAAGTTGAGAATGTGACTTTAGTGGACCCAGTGTAAAAGGCGTTGAATGCGTAGGCGTCTCTCGCAAAAGGCTTGATGTTAGATGGCCTTAATGTTAGATGGCCAGTTTCATTTCTTTTGAAGGCAAGCAGATGATACGATGAGTCAGGTAAGAGCACCTGTTTGCGACTTACTTGGTATTGTTGTGACCCAACACTTGCAGGTAGATTGGACGTTTGGTAGTCGCAGGAACAGGAATAAGTTTGGATGGTTCCCCAATAAACCCAGCAAGCACATCAAGCTGCCAACAAATCATTTGAGACTTGTTCTATCCGTCTGTCCCAAGAGGGACATTGGCAGACGCGAGGACGATCCCAGCCGTTTAACCGCACCTCCATCATTACATGTTTTTGTTTTTGCAGTTACGCCTGTTCTCTGCGTTTTACGGGAAACCAAAGGAAAACCACAATCTTTTGTTGGGGGGGGGTCTAGAAAATCTCACACCCATTTTGTGTTTGTTGCAGTCTTTGAGTGAAGTGTCCTGTAGGTTTCCCCAGGGAGTCAGGACAAAATCTGGATGCCGAGGGGCCCTGGGTGTGTAAAGTTGAGCCAACATGAATTGGCTGTGGGTCAAAACCAATGGTACCATTTGGGGGTAGGTGCACCACCCATTTAGTCTATTTTAGTGCGGATTTGGATGTTGGCTGGGGGTACGGGATTTTGACCCATGGCCAATTGGCATTTTAGAATTCCCCAAATCAGGGCCCCCCGTTGGATGGTTTGTTTGCGGACAAACCAACATGAAACCCCTCATGTTTAGGGGACACGCGGAAATCGGGCAAACCAGGTTGTCCAAGGATCATAACTTTAGGATGCATTTGGTTCCTCACCGGATCTGGGCCAACATAGCTTGACAGCTACTTCCAAGAGCGGGTGTCCATATAGGAGATTCCTCTATACACGTTGTTGGCAGTACCCTTATTGTTTTCGTTGGGGGTTCCATGTCAATCTGCATCGTGGTTACCTACTATAGTTCAGGTTTCCCTTATATAGTGGTTTGGATTCGTGATTTGGGGATTCGATCTTTGGTCTCCACACCCCCCAACCTCCAAATCACCAGTCCGAACCACCAATGAGAGGGAAGCTGAATACTGGGTCAGGCACTTCCATTTGATTAAGATATGTTAATTTTCCCCTGTTGGTTTTAAAGGGAATCTATCACTACTGGATGTTTTTGTTTTTTTTTTCCAGGGGACGTATTCGCAAATGGAGGGACACTGTGCCACAGCCACCACTCACCTGGAGGCATGTTTGTGGCCACAACCACGAAGAGCCCCTACGACCCCTACGCCATGCTTCAGTCCTTCCTCCAGCTGAACAGCGTGCAGGTGTCGATCCTTTTTGGCAGCCCCAATCCCCCCCCCCCTTTTTTTTGTATTTCGTCTTGCCAGAGGGGAGGTGGGTTGTTTGGGTGATGTGTTTGGTCCCTTCGGGTGTGATGTTGAAGAGACCGCTCGGGTGGTACAGAGCCAGTTTCTCCGTTGACGGCGTGTGGCCAGTGGGGGAAGCATCCGATCCGAAGATGGGTCCTTGGAACCCGAAGAGCACCGGCCCGCAAGCTCGGGTTTTTCAGGTTTTGAGGGCAACACGGCAACAAGGCAACCGCGAGTCAACTCTCCGGGTGGTCGATGCTCCAGGAAGTTTCTTTCAGTTGTGGCTGGTGTCGTGGCGTGGCTGGAGTTTCTTTGGTTGCTCCTACAAATAGCAACATGTGAGTCTTGGGAGTCGTTAGAAGCGGGCGTTCGAGCATGTTGCCATTGATTTTAGGGTGTTGCCTTCCGCTTATCTGCTGGTGCTCAGGGAATGTGGGAATGAATTTAAGCTGTGGTCCCCTGAAAGGAAACCACCAGTTGTCAGGTCACCTCTAATTGGTGGTTTGGATTGGTCTTTGAGGGATTTGAACGCTTCTAGGGGCTAGAATTGGACCCCTTCTAAACCGCCAGACCGGCTTCCAAACCACCAAAACCATGGCCCACGTTGGATGGCCTTTTTGTTGGGTCCCGGTGCCATTTCTCATACGTGCAGGCCGCACCGGCCACCTTCGAGGGCGCAGCTCGGCGTTTGATAGGCAGCCCTGAGACATGGAATCACCCCCGCGAAAAAGTCCATCCAACCGGGAAAGCTTTATTCGGAAAGCCCGCCTTATAACCATCAAACTGGTTTCTTTATTCCGGAATCTCCAGGTTTATTCCCACATGCCCTGAGCACCTGCTATTTTCAACCTAGGGCTTTGTACTTGAGTCCACGTTGGAACCTGACTGAGAGGTACTGAAAGACTCTCTGGTGGGTTCCATGTTAGTGGAGATGGGGGTAGTTCCTACAATTCAGTGGTTGGCGTTCAAAAGTGCAGACACGACTATGTGTTCACAATCCTTAATCTTCCGTTAGCTTTGGCTGATTCTCCATTTCAATGCAAGATGAAAGTCAAGAACGCCCCTACTTGTTCAGTGCCTTGGAAGGCCAATATATCTGTTTTTTCTACAGGCGCTGCTGGCCCGCTTATGCCCAGTTGCTATGTGTCGAAGGAGCCCTTTTACACCACCTATGCCAAGCCACCAATTCAGCAGCACAAAGCACAGTTCTATTGTCGCCAACAAATCACTCTTTGCCGTTTTCGGTGTTACTACCTGGTTTATGGGGTTATTGCAGGGGCCTAGATACACCTGTATAGCCATGTTGGTCGAGCCAAGAACCAATGTGTGATTTTGTTTCAAACTACATTCCATGTGAAGGGTCGCTGTGCAAAACAGAAGCGAGGCGGATGTGTAGTTGACCTGTTGGACAAAGACGCGTGGTCTGGGTAAGGCAGGGATGACGGAAGATATGCGGATGACTTGCCACACATCAATCCTCGGAAACACTGATGCTGGCTAAGGTCAGACCTTCAGTTTCATGCTGCATATTACCTGTGCCGGGTGGCTTTCAATGGAGTTTTGCTTATTGGACTTTGTCCTGGCTGTTGGTCGTTCTTGCTCCTATTTGGGCAATTGGGTACCAAGGACTTTGCCATTTTGCTCACTTGACATTGACCTCGAAGCTTCTTAGAAGACCCTCCAACTCGTCCAAGATCTGGAAGTAGTGCCCTCACAAGCTGAAACTGGGACCACCTGGCCGCACATGGCCCATGAAGGCTTGCTTCCTTGGGTATCTTATTTGAAGTTCGCCAGCGGACTATGCTTCAGAAAGATGGGCTGCGCGCCGCGCGTCCCAAATTATGGTTCCACAGAAGGGTCTTCATTCTTTGAGGGAGCCCTTTTCAGGGGGTTTGAAGGGAAGCCAAAATGTATTTATTAAAACAAAATAAAACTTTGGCGAGGTTGAACTAAAACCAAAAGATAGACACAGATACACC